ACGGGGAGAAGGAGAGGGAATTTCACGCTCCCCTCCCTTTCTACCCTCCGGCCACGCCAGCTTCATCTGCAGAATTCCAGGGATCATTTCCGGTCACCGTAAGCTAGCGGGAAGGGGGGTGCGGTTGGAGCTTCCGGTGCCTTGTCAGCTTACAGGGGAACGGAGTCCACCTACACTCGGTCTTAAATACAATATTGTATTTTTACGAGGATTACTAGAATGCGAGGGTATGAAAATGGGAAAGTAGTGTTGCAGAACATCTTTGAAAACGCAAAATTATTTCAACTGTTTTTATGATAACTGCACGGGAAAAGTAATATGATATTAATTTGTAGCCTAACGAGTAAAGTAATCCGTTAGTTTTCAGCAAAAGTAATTTGTAACGGTAATCCATTACATTTGAGGCCCAGAAATTTTTAATTGGAATCCTTGGCTGTCAGCTGTTTTATTTGTATACGTAAAACCCCCAGAATGAAACCACCAGAAGGCCACGTGTCGGTCGTGACGTCACTCCGACAAATCCAAAGAATCATAGCGGTGCACGAGAAATTTGGAGGAGGTAGTCCGGAGAAAGGTTGCCTTTCGGAGGCCTCATGACGTCATGCCACCCTCCGGGTGCGTCAGGGTCAACGTTGGCCTGGGTGTCTCGGACGACATGCGCAACAGCGCGAGCCGCAACAAGTTAGGCGATACCGATGTTACCACCGGCATCTCGCTGAGCAACCTTTGTTGTTGCCAGACACGCGAACAAAATACCACCAATTGTAAAGAGGTCCCACGTCAAGTCGGGGAGCGTTTGTGCAGGCTTGAGTGCAGGCCGAGCAAAAGCTTTCCCATCCCCCTGGGATGCCTACGTCAACGTGGCTCTGCGCAAAAGCGTGACGAACTTGTTACCACGTGATGCGCATACCGGGGGGAAAAGGGAGAGATTTCTCCCCCGTGTGAATACCTATTTACATACATGGAGAGTTTGGTCAATGGTACTCGCAGGGAGAGCCAGGGCGTGCACCAGACTCAGAAAGAGTGCTTGACATGCTCTCTTGACCACCCAGAAGCCGAAAAGAATCCCCTAGCGGTGGTAGCGAGAGACAGTTTTAATCATACGTATATGGGTTTAATAAGCGCGCAAGAGTTAAATGTAGTAACCCTTCATGGTTGAAAATGGGGCGCACGTGATGTATTGATTATATAGGATCATGGAGAAAGGTGTAAGAAACGAATGTGCCGCTCGAACTCTGTCTTTTATAGAGTGTGACCGCTGTAATGAACGGTGTTATGAATGGGCCCCGGACCATTTCCTAATGTCTGCATCGGGCCGTTTGTTTTCGCCGAACGCCTCCCGCGGGTTCAAGGTCATCTGACTCAGCGAGCCTGACCATCATCGCTTCGGAGGCACGCCTGCCCAGCGAACGCACGAGACGGGCGCCGGCCAGATTTTAACGTGTACAAGTCTGGATACAGCCTCCGAAGAGGGAAAACAACGTCTCAGGTTTCACGACCGAAACACCAGGGCACGATCCGGGGCGATGAGATCATCCAGACGCATTCATTCAACGCGTAGACACGAAGGGTCGAAAGTCGGCACGTCACGTCTCGACCCCGGACGGTGTTTTGACCAGTTGCGTGAATTCCAACGAGCCGGTGTTTTTGGTGAGACTCTCGGCACCGTCTAGACCGACGGTGAAGTGTTTACGGCGGCTGAGTGTGCGTAATCATGGAATGTGGGGCGGTGTTTCAACGGGACCCCTTTCTGTGATTGGTCGACTTTCCACCGATGTGGGGGTCCCTACCTAGGGACCTAGGGAGAACCAAGTGTTTAAAATGAGCGAACTTTGACAAGCAAATGCCTTCTCTTCTCTGGACTTGAACCAACTGTACAAATGTAAATTAAACGGCTATCGAAAAGTAACCCGGCTTCCGAGGCCCATCTTCCTGATGTCCTGATCGGCACCTGGCTCCGGCGGAGCCCGACAACAAGGACTACCCTGGGTTCGCTACACCGCCCGGACGGCAGACTCCCGCAACTCGGCACCTGGAGTACGGATTATGTCGATCGTTCCGCCAGTCGCGTTCTTCCACCCAGGCACGTAGCCGGGAGAAGGGGGGGGGGGGGGGATCGGCAATTGCGGCTCAATCTTGTGTGTGTTTAAAGCAAGGCGCTTTGAATACGCGCCAGATTGAGCCGCCATTGCTGACCTTCTGTTGACTTACCGAAATACCGAGCCACTGAAGCGGGCGTTGACGAGCGTCCACAAAGGCCTATGCTGAGGAGGACACAGTAGCACCTTAAAGGGGTACGGAAACCAAATTCTGGAGCTCATTTCTTTGTTTCAACACGACGCAGGTAGCAGCACAACCACATAAACATAAATATTGCGCTAGAAAACGCAAGAAAACATATTTTAAAGTGAATTAAACGATAATCAAAAACCACCTGGTAGTTGGTTATGAAGCTTCAATGGAATGTCGTGACGACAACATGCCTCTGAAAGCAGCGCCGCAGCGGTATGTCCGCTCACTGGTATAGATTGCCTAGGCCTGAACGCAATACCGAGGCGTCTTGGTGGAAAGAGCCAAAACGAAGTGAGCCACCTTGGTTTCAGCTCTCGCGCGACGTGCAAACGCGTGCTTCGGTTGTTCTCAGGTTTGGTGCGCGTGCTGGCCCCGCGATCTCTACAGCCCTTGGGTACTTCGACAAAGCGAGATTGTAACGCGTTGACGCCTCCAAGTGGCAAAACTCGTCACTACGGTACGCTTGGTCGTCCGAGGCATGATGACGTCAAGACGTCTGCCGGATCTCCCGAGATGCATCGCGCTCCTCCATGGCTGATTTTGAAGCGCTCGCCAAAATCGCGGCATTTAGAGCATAAAATATAGCCATCTGCTCAAAATACGACCGTGCGATTATTCATTGCAGGCTTAGCTGATCATATTGAACTCATTTCTTGATGTTTTCTCTATATTTCAAGTTTCGATTCCGTATCCCTTTAAGTAGCAATAACCTGTCATGGTGTGGCGATGATGAAGTGAAGCGAGCGGGAGGAGGATCGGTGGCCGAGTGGGCTATCGCACACCAACTCGGAGCACGTGGAGCGAAAACTCCCGCTGCAGAACCCAGGGATCCTGGGGTGCTATGCTGCAGTGCGCTTTTTGGACTCCCAGGAGACTAGGAAGAGGGAAGTGACGTCAACGCCACAGCAAACGCAGATTGGGTGTTGACAGAAGAAAACGAAATCAACACCCAATCTGCGTTTGCTGTGTCGTTGACGTCACTTCCCTCTCCCTAGTCTCCTGGGAGTCCAAAAAGCGTAACATAGCACCCCTGGGTTCAATCCCCACCCCTGGCCGTTTCGATCTGGATGAGCATCGTACCGGCGGACGGTCGTGTACCACTACTGCGTGGTGCACGAGACCCCAGAAGTTAAAGTGCACTGGCTAAATTGCTCATCTACACCGAGTGACTCGTCGCAACTTTGGAATGGCTGACCAACTACACGCTGTATAAATATCCACACAACCCCAATTATTATTAAAGCGAACGGAATAAGAGGAAACAAAAACTGAAGGTTGGTTATGGCGGCGCCCATGCACAGCTGCCTGAAAGCGCCTATAGGTGCAAGAACGTGCAGCCTGCATGGGGCGAAGGTACCTTTTCAAGCCCGCAATTCACGTGCTTTATTCACGAGCTTAAGTATGGCAACGAGGTAGAGGGGAGGCAGCGGCCAGAACGATAGGCAGGCACTAACAGGCAATTGCATTCGCACGTCTGCTACTTTGTCAGACCATAGCCTCCTCTATACACGCAAAGCTTGGCAGTTCGATGACGGAGCCGTAGAGTTTTGGGTCACAGTTTGGAGCGCGAGGATTTGGTAGCACAGAGCATTTCTCGGGGAGTCTGGTATTCAGCGCACAGCTTTTGCAGCGGCGAGAACCCGAAACATGGTTTTCAAACCTGACAAAAAAAAAGAAGCGGCAGCCCGAGCAGCGCGAGAAGCACGAGGGGACATTCCATCGCTGGAGACAAGTGTGTTTCGGTGTCTCGCCGCAGTGGGGCGCCCGTTACATGACCCTTGTAGGGTGCCTAGATGTCTGTCTGTCTCAGGGTGAAGACATCCATTGTTGCCCTGAATGTGCCAGCGCGTGACGCTCTCGCGCACTCGGTGCGTGACTTGGGTGGTAAAATGGCGTCTATGCATTAGCCAAAGCTACGCGCTCGAGCTGAGTGACACCGGATTGCGCGCACTTCAAAATGCATAAAAAAACGATTGGGCGGAAAAATGGCTGAGATGTCACCACTCAAGCAAAAGCGCGCGTGTGTATGAAGGCACTCTAGACCCTTGCTTTGGACTCTTGTAGAGTGCCTACATACACACGCGCGCTTTCGCTTGAGTGGTGATATCTTAGCCAATTTTCCGCCCACTCGCTCTCTCTTTTTTTTTTTTTTGTATTTTGAAGTGCGCACAACCCGGTGTCACTCAGCTCCAGCGCGTAGCTTTGGCTAATGTATAGGCGCCATTTTACCGCCCAAGTCAGGCACCAAGCGCGAGAGCGTCACGCGCTGGCACGTTCAGGGCAACAATATGTCTTCACCCTGAGACATACAGACATGTAGGCACCCTAGACTCTTGCCTGTTGCTCTACCTAGAGTCACTAAATGAGCTGCGCTCATTTAGTGACTCTTTAGTGCCACTAAAGTGACACTAAAGTGGCACTAATTGACTTTAGTGCCACTAAATAAGCGTAGCTTATTTAGTGGCACTAGCTCTACCTTTTCACTTTCGGCGGCCACGTCACGTGACGATCTGCCAGTCAGACTAAACAAGCACGCGCCAAACAGAATAGCGGCTGCCAGAAGCGCTCTTGCAGAACGGCGTGAAGGTCAGCCGTGAATAGGTGATTCAAGTGAGCGATTCGTCCCGCTTTCAAGCGCCTAAACCACAGTGACCTAAACATACGCAGCCATTAAGCATAGCTGTAGACGAGAAAGACAAAGGAAGACCATGGTAGACCAAACCATGGACCACTTCAGCAAGGCGGTGACGTGTTGCAACGCCCTGGGGCTAGACGTGTATGCGCGGTTCACGCATTCCCGGCCTCTGGAGAACCTCTTCTTCTCGCCCTTCGCCCTGACGGTTGGACTGTCCATGACCCTGGCGGGTGCCCGCGACTCGACCGCTGAGGAGATCATGGACCTGATGCATATGAACAGGGGGCTCTTCGAGACCCAGAAAGAGATCGTCGACCTCGTTCAGTTCCTGCGCACGGACGAGGTAAGGTTAAAGACCCGATCACACACTTGCCTTTGCTTAGGACCGAGTTCTTGTGATCTCTCGACGAGAGAACACACCGGCACGCTGGAGCCATTCATGGGGTGACCCTGGAACTGTACTTCACTAGAGCGAAATTTTTGCGGTATTTGCGAGATGAAATGCTATTTAAGGGAAACTGTCGTTTATAACATTATCAAAAGATTTTCGAGCCAAGAAGAAACTGATGAAGCGCGGAAAAAATACGAATATTGTCACGGGTGGTGACCAAAAGAGCAAACAGGAAAAAATAAACGTTTAATGGGGCGAACTTTTGCCTAAAACAGAATAGAAAAAGGATTGCGTCGCAGGCGTCGATGGCGGCGAAACAGCAGGATCGAACGCTGGGGCGAGTGACCCCGGCTGGTTACGCGGAGCCCCTTTTGTACACGCGTGGGCTTCTGGAACAATCGGCGTGGAAAGTTCGGCAGGTAGAACATTCTAGCCTTCGAATCAACAACACGGTTCTCGAATTCACCAGAACAGTACATTAGAGTCAACAAAAATGCGTACCCGCGGCCAGGAATCGAACCCTGGCTTTCCGCGTGGAATGCACGCGCGATAACCGTTAGGCCACGAGGGCGCTGTTTACTTAGCCGCGCTCGCGGCAACTCCGGACTGTCTTTTACGGTTACTTGATAGAAGGCTCCAGTGTTTGTTTTCTCGTGCTAAAAGATTCTTAGAACTAAAAGATTTAAGGAACACGGTCGTAAGAAGTCTCCCTGGTGTGAACAACCCTTTAGATCTCGTTAGTCAATGCTTCTTCCAAAGTATACCATGAGCTGTTGTCGATATTGGTGATCCTTAACTTATTGGATCCTGGGATCACCTAAAATCCTGGGTGATTTTACGACACTGGTGATCCTGGGAGGCTAGAGCCATAAACGAACTTGCTCCCGGAGGCATTTGGCTCTGGGGTAGTGGCAGAAGCTAGTGAGGACTTGGTTGACGCTGCGCGCATCGTGTCCTCAATAAAATTTATTGTTTTAACCCCTATCTTGTTCAAAAGGTATGAGTGATTTTGTGAACCTTTCTATGGGAAAATGAAAAACCAATTCCCTGTAGTTTACGCCATCCAGCCCCATGTATTCGTGAGCCTCGTAGAGCACCATTTTACAGCGAAGCTGTTATGCGCTAGGATCTGGGAAAAAAATACGGCGTCCTTAAGGTCGTCCTAGAAGTTGTCCTTGACGTCGTCCTAGAAGTCGTCCTTGAGGTCATCCGAGAGGTCGTCCTCTAGGCGTCGTCCTCGGAATTGTCCTAGAAGTCGTCCTTGACGTCCTAGACATCGTCCTCGAGGTCGTCCAAAAGCTCGTACTTTAGGCGTCGTCTTCAAGGTCATCCTAGAAGATTTTATTGAGGTCGTCCTAGACGTCGTCGTTGAGGTCGTCCTAAAAGTTGTCCTTGAGGTCGTCCTAGACGTCGTACTCTTGGCGTCGTCCTCGAGGTCGTCCTAGAAGTCGTTCTTGAGGTCGTCCTAGACGTTGTCCTCTAGGCGTAGTCCTCGAGGTCGTCCTGGAGGTCGTGCTAGGAGTCGTCCTTGAGGTCGTCCTAGACGTCGTACTCTAATGATCGTCCAGGGTCGCTAAACTCGTCAACAAAAATATTCTTTGTGTTATGGGAGGAAGAAGAGGACGCCGAAGCGAACGGACTAGTTCCTATCGGCTCCGTCATTTATGGTTAATTTCGCAGTATTAATTTGCGCGATTCAAGGTCTTGTGTATCCCAGTGAGTTTGTGAAGTCGAGAGACGCCAACGGATAACAAAGTTCCCAAAGGTACGCCTTTTTTGCCGAAATAACAGACATTTTCCACCACCGTCGTGCGCGGGGCCGCTAGGCCTAGGTGTGCTCCACGAGCGATAGGCCTAGTCGCTGTCGCTCCTGCCGCGGCTCGCCGTTTCGGCGGCGGCCACTAAGCCCCGAGATGGAGGGGACGTCCGCTCGGGCAACGATCTTCGACTCCCAAATGTGCGTGCAAGTTCAAGGCGAAGATCTTTCACCAGAGGAATTCCACAGCGGCACTGGATGGACGCAAGTGGGGGAACGCATGTCCAGACTACGTCAACGAGACCTTGTCGCGAAGCTCGCCGGCACCGACAACCAAGTAAGCAAGAATGCGAAGGGTAACAAGAACGTTAGAGCCTCGGCCATCAAGGCAGCGAGAATGCCAGCCATGCCGCTGGAGGAAAACAAGATCGTCATCAGACCCCGTGGGGGATTGGACATTACCAAGATTGGCACCACGACCGTCGCCACGGCCATTCTCGCCGCGGCCAAGATTACGACTGAAGAGAACGCATCAGACACCATTTGCCCAAACGCGCTACAAAACATCATGGTATTCAGCACGCCTAAGGAGGAAAACGCCGTCCGCTACGCGAGAATTCAAACGATATCCATTCAAGACAAGACCTTCGAAGTCAGCGCGTACCGCACGGCGCCGCACGACACCGTGAAGGGCATCATCCGCGGCATCCCTGTCAACGCGAGTGCCGAAGAACTCGACAGCAACATTGTAAACGACAGAAACCCACTCGCCGTAGGAGCCAAAAGAATCGGCAACACGACCACGATCATTGTAGCCTTCGGAGGACCCAAGGTACCGAACTTTGTCCGATACGGTGTCACGCTCATACCGTGCAACCTGTATAGAAAGCAAATAGACGTCTGCCACCAGTGTGGCCGGGTCGGGCATCGCAAGGACGTGTGCCCAACTCCAACCAACCGCATCTGCAGGGGCTGCGGCCAAACAAACCCAAAGGAAGACCACAAATGTACGCCCAAATGCAAACTTTGCGGAGGCGCTCACTTGACCGCCGATAGAGAATGTAAAGCCAAATACAAGGTTCCCTACGTCGTCCGCAAGCGGCAGTGGGAGCGCCGAAAGCAAAACGTCAGCGACTGGCTGCCGTTGGAGAGCAACTTCCCGCTACTCGACGAGCCAGCTGCCCGCAAGTCAAGGACGCCATCGAGAAACCGCGCGCCGTCGAGAAATAGCAGCAGCAGGAGCCAGAGCAGAGACGCGCGACAAACAAAAAGCCAAAGATCAAAGTCGCGCGAGAGAGTCAGTTGGGCCGACGCCGCACGAGGTATCAAGAAGACCAATTCGAACGACAATGCCAAGAAAGAAGACAAAGCTTCAACCAAGGAACGAGAAATCAACGAGGCCCTGAAACAGGAGAACGCGTCCCTGCGAGCCACCATCAACAACCTCACCAAGGAAATAGCGGAGATTCGCAACGTCTTATGCACCATCGAACAGCCAAGATCCTGCCCGAGCGACAACAACAAGGTCGAAGAAGCTACGACAGACGGAGATAAAGCACCGGCACTGAAGAAAAGGGCCTTCGAATTGCGTAAGACCACGAAAAACGTAAGCAGCTGCAGCTCCGGCAGCAGCAGCTCCGGCAGCAGCAACAACAATGTCGAGGCGAAACTCAGCAGCCTCGAGGATATGATCAAATCGATGAAAGAAGCCATCCAAGCCTTCCAAACGGAGAACGTCAACAGACTCAATAACCTGGAAAGGAGCTTGCAACTAACCCTAAGCAACCCAACGTTCGGGCCCCTACAGCAGCAAGTCAACCAAGCGCAGCAACCCGGAGAACTTCGAATAGGACCATCATGGCCTCCAGCTCCACAGGCATAACGATGTGGCAGTGGAACTGCCGCGGCTTAGTCAAGAAAAGGGCAGTTGTCCAGCAACACATTGAGCACGCTGCGCGCAAGCCCGACGTGCTCCTACTCCAAGAAACGCTAACGGAAAAGCCGTCCCTCCCCGGCTACAGGGTGCACGCGGGCCCGTCCGACGGCAGAGGTCTGTGCACCCTGGTCAGGAAGGGTCTCACCTTCGTCGAACATCGACTAAGCAACGTCAGGATCGAACACACGCTCACCGAACTCATACCGACCAAGCAAAGAAAAAACAGCATCTTCATTTTGAATATCTACAGTAACCCATCGCAGAGACTGCAGAGGTTCAAAGCCATTCTTCACAAGGCAAGCACGACGGCCGGCCAGAGCACGCTGGTCGCGTGCGGCGACTTTAATGCTATGGATCCGGCGTGGGGCTACGTCAAGAGTAATGCGAAAGGCAGAAACCTATCCCACGATGCGGCGGAGCTCGACTACACACTCATAACCGACCCGGCTCTCCCAACGAGAATGGGCAACTCCGTGTCCCGAGATACCACCCCTGACCTCACGTTCGTCAAGAACAATGAACCGATCACGATCACGTGGAGGAACACGGGGATGGACCTCGGCAGCGACCACATGATAGCGGAAATCGTCATACCGGAGCAGAGCAGTGCTAATGTCAGGAAACATACGTGGATCGATTGGACCGCATTCAGAGATAACAGAAATCAGGAGGCGGAAGAAGAGACCGAAATTGATGACATCGAAACATGGACCAACAAGATCATTCAAGACGTTCAAAACTCAACCAAGAACATAGAAACAGACCTCGAAACGAACACAATGGACAGCCGACTGGCACACCTCATCGAGGCCAAGCAGTCCATACTCAACAGATGGAAAAAGCTACGCCTCAATCGTAGGCTACGGAAAAAAGTCGCAGAACTTAACAGGACAATCGAGGAATACTGTCGCACGCTATGCGCCCAACAATGGGACGAGATATGCAACGCCGCCGACGGACAGATGCATAACGGGAAAACGTGGAACTTGCTTAGGCATCTGCTCGACAAAACTAAGACTAAGTCACACCAAAGAGACCGACTGGCGAAACTCATCCATCGAGAGGTCACTAAACACGGAGCCGAGCATGTGACGAAGCGCATCAGCGACAGATACCTGCCGACTACTCCAACGGAGTGCCACGGGCCGTACGGGGGGCTACGCAACGAGCGTCTTGACAGAGACATAGACGTAGAGGAGGTTCGCACGGCGCTGCAAGACCTCAACAGCAAGTCGGCGGCCGGACCGGACCGCATCACCAACAAAGCACTCAAGAACCTCGACGACAAATCCATCGAAAGTCTCACGAGCTACTACAACAAATGCTGGAAAACGGGAACGCTGCCGACGCAGTGGAAGAAGGCCAAGACTATCCTGATCCCCAAGCCGGGCAAGCCACCAGACACCGACAACCTCCGACCCATATCGCTCACGTCTTGCATGGGCAAGGTGCTGGAGCACGTCCTGCTCAAGAGGTGGCAGGAATACCTCGAGAAAGAGGACCTCTACCCGGAAACGATCATCGGCTTCAGGCAGCACCTCAGTACCCAAGACGCAATGATTCAACTCAAGCACCAGATCATCGACGGCAACACCAGCGACAACAAAGCGATATTGGGACTCGATCTGCAGAGCGCCTTCGACAAGGTGAAGCACTCGGCGATCCTATGCCAAGTCTCGAAACTCAACATGGGAGAGAGATCATACAAATACATCAAAGATTTTCTCACGGACAGAACTGCCGAGCTCAGAGCGGGGGATCTCCAAGCGCAAGAGAAGAAGCTGGGAAGCACAGGCACACCTCAAGGATCAGTCATCTCGCCGATGCTTTTCAACCTGGTGATGATAGGAGTGGCCGAAAGGCTCGGAAACATCAAGGAAGTTCGACACACGATATACGCGGACGACATAACGCTGTGGGTGGAAGGGGGCAGCGATGCCCACATCGAATCCACTCTACAGGCGGCTGTCGACGCGATCGAAGACCACCTTGACGGAACGGGGCTCAGGTGCTCGCCGAGCAAGTCGGAGCTCCTTGTATACCCGCCCGTCAAGCACCGCAAACCCAAGAGCAGCCCGAGAAACTACGAGGCAATCAAAGTGAAGAGCAGAGAAGGAAACGAGATCCCAAGAGTCACCAAGATCAGAATCTTAGGAATGACGATCGAGACGCACGGCAGAAACGGTGACACTGTCACCCGGCTCATAGCGAAAGCGGCAAACGCCACGAGACTACTCAAGCGAGTCACGACCAAGAAAAGTGGAATGAGGGAAGAGAGCCTGATCAGACTCATCCACTCGTTTGTCATATGCCACGTAGCGTACGTGGCGGCCTACCACAAGTGGAAGAAGAGCGAGAGAAACAAGATAAATATACTCATCCGTAGGGCCTTCAAGACGGCAATGGGACTGTTCGAAACAACGAGCACCAACCGCCTCCTGCAGCTGGGGGTGCACAATACGCTAGAGGAGATAGCGGAAGCCCAACGCAACGCTCAACTCGAAAGACTATCTACGACCAAGGCCGGCCGGAAAATCCTGGACAACCTGGGAGTTGGCTACCAAGGCAGGGAGCGGACGCAGCTCCCCATCCCCGATGAGATCAGGAACAACATCAGAGTGGACTCTATACCGAGGAACATGCACCCGGAGTATAACAAAGGGAGGAGAGCGGCGAGAGCCAGGGCCCTGATAGATCAGCACGCGGCCGACGGACACGCACGCTACGTGGACGCGGCTGAATACGCCAAGCTACACGGTTTCACGACAGTTGTCGTCGACGCGACCGGCACCGTTCGCACGACCGCCAGCACGAGATGCACCAAGGCAGAACAAGCGGAGGAGGTAGCCATCGCCCTGGCCATCGCCGACCGCGACTGCCACACGGTGCTGTGTGACTCGAGGCAGGCGGTGAGGAATTATGCCAAAAGCATGATATCGAAGGAAGCGGTGCGCATACTGCAGTCAACCAAGAACGACGGCGGCAGCAAACAAGTGAGAATCAAATGGTTCCCCGCGCACGCGGGCGAGGATCGAAACGCCAACCACAACGAGACAGCACATGCCGAGGCGCTAACGGACCGCGCCTCGACCGACTGGCCGCTGTGGTTCAGCACCAAGGACCGAATGACCGACGAGATAACCAAGGCTTTCCGCCTAGCTCGCAGAACTCTCCCACCACCTTGCTCGGGGCTCAGTCGAGAACAAGCCGTTTTATTTAGACAGCTGCAGACGGGCTCACTCCCCGTTGCTGATGCATAGAATGGATCCCGCACCCGACAGACAAGTGCAGAGTCTGCCGAAGGGCCGGCTTCGCACATATGCTGTGGGATTGTATCAAGTACCCGGAAGAATCAAAGTCTGGGAGCATCCCGCTGCGACTTGAAGCAGCCGCAGGGAGCGATAATCAAGAACAACAACTCTGGGCCGTCCAGCAGGTCATCGGGGCGCTGGCCCGGCAGGGACCCAGCGCCCAGAAGACGATGTAGGCCCCGTCCGGAGCGCGCGCGCAAGCGCGCGTTTTAATGCAGGCTAAAATAAAGTTTACCCACTCCACTTGTGTTATGACACAGTGGGGGGAGGAGCCGAAAGATTGCTGCGAAGTTTTCTTTTCTCACAAACCCGCAGATCCGTCTGTCTTCGTGACGTTTTTCGTTGAGGGGACGAAAGATCCCTACGCCTCCCTAGGCACCGAACAAGAGCAGCACTATTAGAGAGCGCGCGGAGACGACCGTGGCTCATACGTGTGACGTCACAACAAAGATTATCAGCTGCGACCGTCATGTTTGATGCTCTCTAAAAAGCACGATGGATGCTTGGGAATTGCATTTTAAAATCAACACCGTCGAAGTTGACAGTCTGATATCGTTGTTATTTCCGCCGATAAAGCATAATTTACTGAAAAGGGTCCCTGCCGTTCCTTTGATTTATCTCGGGCCAAAGTGTAGCCTAGGTCATAACCAGTCGACTATCGTTGTCCACTTTCGGGCGAATTTCGCCTCCGGGCAGTTGTCCCTTCATCGGCGGGATAAAATCATTTTATGGTAGACATTCCAAGATCAGTCAGTTTGGGATCAAGTATGTTTATCAACGGAAATAAGGAAATAAAAGTAATTTCAGGTTGTCAATACTGGCGGTGATGCTTCAAGAACGCAAGGACACTAAACTTTACATCGTCGATTTGAACACGCACCATCAAATTAGTCGTTCACAACTGATAATCCTGACTCCATCGTCAAAGGTATCAAGTATAAAATGACGTCACTGAACGCGCCCGCACACTATATACGTGCCCTGGCACGAGTCTTTCGCTTGAAAGTCTGTCATGGCCACTCTTGAGTTCATGGAACGCGAGCCGTTTTAATTCCAGAATCTCTTGAACCGTTATTTCGAAAATTGCAGGCTGTGTTGTCCCTCGTCATTGCTCATTGGAACACCTCTAAGCAGGGTCGTCGAAACAGGAGGATGGGGAGGAGAGGGGATTTAGCCCCCCCCCCCCTCCCCCAGCTGCTTTTAAAGAGGGGGCAAGGGGCATAAGGGTGGAAGGGGGGGGGGGGGGGGGGGGTTCGCCCCATCCCCGAACCACCATAGCATTTCAGAGAGTTATAATAAAATATTAGGGGAAAGGAATATCCCCCTTCTTCACCACCATCACCTCCTCTCTCTCTCTCTCTCCCGAACAATTTCTACGGCCCTTCTTGAGACTCCTATTTGTTGTATGCGTGTGTGTGTGTGTGTGTGCGCGTGTGCGTGTGCGTGTGCGTGCGTGTGTGTCGTACCTTAATTCTTTCTTTAGAGCGCAGCTCTTCGGCGCCCGTTTCCGGGTTTCGCGGCGTGGGCGTCGCCGTCGGCGTAACCGGCCCGCTAAATTTAGCGCAAAATTGACGTCACATGACCTCAACACCAATTCAATTCCCAGCTACGTGACTTCAACGCCAATCCATTTCTCCGCTAGATTGTCGTGTGATGTCTTTTTCCCTGCTAAATTTAGCGGAGAAACTGAATTGGAGGAGGAGGGGAGGAGGAGGGGCATACCCTCCTCTCCGTACCCTTCCTTATTCCTCCTCAAGAGTTGAGCTCTAAGTTCGCATTACAAAGATTTGTAAACGTCTTTAATTTTTTTTATTTCCCTTTCTTTGGCTTCCTTTATTTTTTTATCCCTTGTTTTTCCTTATCTCTCAGACATTACCGACGTCTCTACACAAACCGCCTGTGGGTGACCCCGGTGGCGTTGTTGACAGTGGCGGAAGATGAGCTCTATAAAGCCGCCCGCGTACACCGCGCACGGCTCCACAACATCACAAAGTTCAATCTTCGCCTCGATTCCGAAGCGAAGATTTTGGCCTCAAATAACTCCTTCCCAAAGTTGTGAAACGTCACTTTGTCGTCACCAATAACTTCCGCAAACGACGATCTTGCGACGAGAAAGTTCAGAGTATTTACCGGCCGCCTAGGTACAATTTACGCATCATTGACTCTAACGCGGCGTAGGGATGTAGGGACACTCGGGCGAGACGTCATCAGTGCAGCCGTTCAATCGCCTGGCACCACGGTGATGCTCGCACGCGCTTCGATGGAGATCGCTACGACTTTGTGTTTTATATTCTCGCTGGAATTTGAGCACCGAGAGAGCTTGGATGATTGACACCTCGCTCGGCTTGACGTCAGCGTCGCGAGAGTCATACTAGCGCGTTCCGTAACTTTCGGACACAAAGGTGTGCTCGACGAGTTTAGCTACCCTAGTCGTCATAAAAATAACAGATATGTTGGTCCTCCATCTGCACGCTAAGTGGAAGGGCTCTAGAATTTGTTCCATTGAAAATTTTCGTAAATCGGTTATAACTTTTGAATAGGATAACCGTTCGTTCTGAAACTTTGCCATCTGGTTCGGACTGCTAACGCTGCATTTGCGCGTTCAGTACTGTGCAGCCTAATTTATATATATATATATATATAAAACATTGTTTGGGATTTACCTTTTATGGGTTGCTTTGGCTGGAGCAGAGAATAGACTCTATTTGCCGATTACACAAAGAATAGTCATCACAATCTTCTTTTTTTCTTTTTTTTTTCTTAATGCTGGAAGATAAACTGTAGGTATGTTTTTGTTATTTTCTTGCGAATGTTATTTCTAAGTTATGTTTTTAACACTAGAAACTGAACTGCATATAGTTCTTGTTATTTTGCTTGTGCTGCACAAATGTCAATGCGGGGGCCTGTGGCTTCGTCAAGCTGTCCTCTTGACAGCTTTTTTCACACGCCTCCAGTGTCATGTACTTAGCACCAGCGTTGCCTACGTTCCTCCAAAACAGGAATGAAAGCTCGTTTCTCGTTCCATCTCAATCTTGAAAGGTGTTCCCGTTACAAGTTCCATTGGCTCAATTAGAACGCTCTCCCCTTTTATTTCTAAAATGAAAACGTGTCGCTATATTAACGTTCTGTTTGCGTATTTTGATAACATAGTGTGCGGGATAATCCGTAAATAAAAAAATAAAGCGAGCAATTGAAAATATCCACTCAGCTGCGTGTCGCGTTGAACGATAACATATGTTCCAGTTCTTTGTCTTCAACTATCTCTCGGACACCTTCCCACCCGTTGAATTTGGAGGTTGAAATAGTCAACAATAAAAAGCCTAAATGCCAACTAAATTCAAATAAAATTGCAAAAAAACTTGCAGCCTTTTTCATTTTGGGAGCGGAGCTGTACAATGGAAAGCAATGGCCGGCCGCACGTCGGCAAGCCAGAGTGGAAAGGCTGCCGCCATCTATGAGCGACGGCGGCAACCAGATATCTGGCTATCCCTAGTCGCTGATAGATGGCGGTAGGTGTCCAGATTTCGGTGTCTTCATTTCTTTGCGGGGGACACGATCCTGGGGAAACTAGCCCTTAACAGCTCCACAGTAAGAATGCCATTCTTTTTGCACTTTTTTTCGAAAACGTGACGACTTCCCATTTCAGTCACACGGATGCAAGATGGAACGACGGTGTTCCCTCGTTCTTGCTAAAAAGAACGCGTTCCAGGAACGCCTTTCCATACAACACTGTTTAGTACCCGATGCAAATAAACAAATCTAATCTAATCTCGTGGAATCAAACCCGCCCCAGGTGGACATGTCCGTGGCCACGGGTGCCTTCGTGCGGCTGGGCTTCCGTCCCACCGACGACTACTGGGCCACCGTGAGGCGCGTGTACGGCGGCGCCGTGCACGAGGTGGATTTCGTCGAGAACTCGGAGGTGGTGCGCCGCAACATCAACACCTGGGTCAGGGACCAGACCAACAACCAGATCAAGGAGGTACACCACTCACAACGACAGTTGGCGCGCAAGACAAAGGACAAGTAAAAGGCGGGACAAAGGCGTGTGCAGTTATCAGCTTGTCTTTCGCGCAAACTGCTCTTGTAATGTCTAGCCAACTAGGCCTTCGACGTAAAAAAGTACGCTATAGTGCTCTTTCTATGTTGTTCGGTTGCGGACGTTCTTCCTCAGGACGGGAAGGAAATCGGAGATCTTGGAGGGCCCTACCGCGATGAACTGGGAACACGGGTCGGTGGTATTCCCTCGACGAGTTAGACCAATAAAATGAGCGCGAGTAGTCATTGCTGAAAAAAGTGGACGTATCTCCTCGCCACTGCCTGACAATTGGAGCTTATCCAGATGAAAGAAAGGCCGACGATTGGTGTACCAGAATCCAGCTTAGAAGAGTGGAGGGCGAGTTCTGCCATCACAGTATTGCTCCGCAGTGAATAAGCCTATTATAACGCTATGAACCAATCTCAAAGCAAAAGGTGGACAAAGTAAAATATTTAGGCGTTCAGTTTTCGGAAAACCTCTCGTGGAGCGCGCATGTAGACTACATGGCGGTCAAAGCTAACCGTGTGCTAAATTTCTTGAGGAGGAATTTTCACGATTGTCCTCCCAATTTAAAAAATACCCTTTTTCTTTCTAATGTCAGGCCTATTTTAGAATACGCTTGCGTGCTTTGGGACCCTAAAGAACGCTATCTAGAACAGAAAATAGAACAAATCCAGAGCAAAGCTGCTAGGTTTGTTACAAAAAATTACAATTTCAAACAAAGTGTTACTGCCCTAAAATGTCAATTAGACTGGGAACCTCTGAACTCTAGAAGACGCCGCCTCCGTTTAAAATTTTTACATAGAATCTATCATGATCAAACAGGACTGGATAAAACTAAATTCATTGAACTGCCACACTTCGTGTCACGTAGATTAGATCATTCCAAAAAAATTAGAGAATTTTCAGCTAGGACTAATATATTCAAATTCTCATTTTTCCCCAACACCGTTAAACAATGGAACGAATTGCCAGAGGAAACTATTTCAATTCCATCGTCTGATAATTTTTTTAATAAACTGGCACGTGATAGCTGGGAGTAAGGAAAGTGAATTTTCTCTTTGAGAATGTGCATTCAGAACGCTCGGTCTGTAACACTGTGCTATCTGTCTTCATATCTTTATTCGTACGGAAAATTACACTGTTGGCTAAAGTTTTATACCATTGTGGATCCATTTGTTCAGGTGTTATAATTTTGCAACACAATTGTTGTTGCTTTTAGTCATTTTTTTTTTTGCGAACTTGTTTTTTTTCTTTTCCTGTGTGTTTCTGCATGTCAGAACTGTAATTCTTGTGCAAATGTATCCTCACCCCCCCCCCCCCCCCCCCCCCCTGCAATAATGCCTCTTGGCGCTGCGGGGTAACATGTAATAAATAAATAAATAAAGCCCGAACAAAATTAAGCGTTTTTTGATGCGTGAGCAAGCAGAGCGCCTGGATAAGAAAGCCTCTGAATTTTCCTGCGCCACCAAAAGACGTAGGGCACAGATTTCACTCTTTGAACACAAGTTCTAGCCGAACCTCCAATCTGTGCACTGCGGTCTTTTCATGACGCAGGAGCTAACTTATTTGCGGCCATGGGCCGCGCTATGCATGGCTCGCACGTGACATCATTGCACTTTGTTAGTAGCCGCTCCTACTTGTTCTCGCGAAGGAAAAAAAATGTGGTCCTGACCTCAGATCAGTAGTCTTTATGAAGGCCTTGCTACTGAGCGGGCACATTCCGCAGCACGTACTTCGGACCACAATTTTTTTTTCGAGAAGAAGTAGGAACGACTATCAGCATGGTGCGACGGCGACACGTGCAAGCCGGGCGAACCTTGGGTGCAGATGCTGAGCCCCGGCTCGGTGACGTCGGCGACCCGGCTGTGCATGGTGAACGGCATCCGGTTCCGCGCCGTGTGGACGGACCCGTTCTTCCCAACCGAGATTCGGCGTCACGAGTTTCTCAGCAGCGAGGACGAACCGGCCGACGTGGACGTGGAGATGATGTCGCATATCGGGGAGTACGCCTACCTCGTTGACCGTGACATGTCCTTCACCGCCGTAGAGGTGCCCCACAAGGTGCGATGCACGCCAATAAGGTGCTAGCACCATGGGCCCACGCCCAACCTTTGAGTTCACTTTCCTGCAGACCGCGGAAAGAACCAATCACGGCGAACAATTGATGCGAGGATCCCGACGAATGGCAAAGCGAGGAATACGACTCGACCATAATATTAAGCAATGTGCGCAGGAACAACGAATGAGTGGGTACGTCGAGCTCATGGTCCTTGCACACGAAAATTCAACGTTTCAGATCGCATTCTTAAAGTTGCCATTCCCTGGGACTCGTCTCTTCTTGGCCGGCATTTGTTGTCTTCGTATTCTGAGGAAAAGAGATATCGGACGTTTTTTAATGTGCTGAGAGAGGCACAGTTGTATGCGCACTCGACGTCGAGCCGATGCCCCACAATGTCCGTGCGCTCGAGTCAAGACAGTCGACTTGAGTTGTTTGTGTTTTGGTATTGTGTCTGGAATGCGGGTGTCTTTGCGGCGTCTTTGTTTTGTCACTTAGATTCTTGCTTAGTGACTTCGAAACAGTGAAATTATGGAGGTCAACACAACCCTGGCGGTTTGCACAGCGGCAGAAGCGAATCCTGGTAATCGTGGCAGTCCATCATTTCATTACACGGCAGAACCCATGACGTGTTTTATAGCCGTTTTTGCTCGTTGTAGTAAGTTCCACTCAACTTACTACAACGACACTGTTACACCTGTATGGAGTACTCAGTGGCGGCCATAGCTGTGTGCGCGAACGCTGAGCGCGTGCTGATGGCGAGCTGCCGCAGTTCTTTTGCAACGTGCATTTCGCACCCTCAAGATTGCCGGTCTTAGCAGCCTATTGATGTGAGCTCGTCCTGAGCATGCGCTCTAAACAGCGCCCACAAATATGGCGTCCAGTGAATACTCCCTATTTCAAGATTTCTTTCTTCTTCGACTCAGTGTTGCATTTGGTCTTCTACTCCGTTTGCACATCTACCACTCTTAAAAAAAAAAAAAAAAAAAAAAAAAAAAAACTAAAGAGGATTTTGAAAGAAAAACGAGTTAGAGGTGAATTTTAAAAGTATTTTTATCCCGTGATTTTGAATACCACGTTCATTTTCCCCGAAGATGCAACTAAACGCGAGAAAACACGAAAAACATCGAATCAACCATTACATCATACCCATATCTCTCGATTGCCAAGGGCGTGTCGCTCGTGTGGGCAGCGCGAACAATTGCAAGCTTGCCAGGTATAATTCCCCGCACTTACACCAGTCGTAATGTATTTCTTTTAGTTCATTTTCTTTTCTTTGTTTTAAATAGCGAGTGCGCGTGCATAGCTTTGATAGGCGCTGAAGAAGCGCGAGAGAGGAGGTTCCGAAAACTCTGAATATGGCGTCACGCTCCAGTATGCAGGTGCTTCAGAGGTACTTTGTAAATGATTTCCTGCAGCTTCTGTACACCGAATTGGAAAAATAATTTCAATATTCGTGATCTTGAAGGCAATATAAAGAGATGCAAGTGTTTTGTTTTTTTCTCAAATACAGAACCACTTGAGTTTCCCTTTGAGAAGTTCCACTCAACTTACTACGACACTGTTACACCTGTATGGAGTACTCAGTGGCGGCCATAGCTGTGTGCGCGAACGCTGAGCGCGTGCTGATGGCGAGCTGCCGCAGTTCTTTTGCAACGTGCATTCCGCGTCATCAAGAGTGCCGGTCTAAGCAGCCTATTGATGTGAGCTCGTCCTGAGCAGGCGCTCTAAACAGCACCCACAAATATGGCGTCCAGTGGATACTCCCTATTTCAAGATTTCTTTCTTCTTCGAGGGAGCAGGGCGGCAAGACGTCACTGGTGATCGTGATGCCGCACCAGCGCCACGACTTCCGGGAACTGGAGAAGCGCGAGGAGCTGGACAAGCTGCTGGGACTCGCGGCACGGATGGTGAAAACGCCCGACGTGGAGCTCTGCCTGCCCAGGCTCAAGCTGGACATGAACATACAGATGGACTCCATGCTCTACTACATGGGGCTCAGCGACCTATTCACCGAGGTACGCTCCTTTCTTCCTTTGCTCTACAGCGAACGTGGACACTCTCAAGGCTCGTTCCCAGATGAGCATTTACTATAGGACCGAGTTCTTGCGTTCTCTTTTGACGAGAGAACACGCTGCAGCATGCTGGCGCTACCTATGAGGTCGCCCTGAAACTTCATTTTACTAGAGTGAAGGTTTTGAGGTATTTGCGAGGTCAAACGTACGTACTATCTATGAGGGACAGGCGTTTATAACGTTGTCAAACGTTTTTCGAGCCAAGCAAAAAATGCTGATGCGTGAAAAGAAAAAAGGAAATATACGGAAATGCTGAGTGTTCCTCTTTTGTTCATAGTTATTATTGCTTTCTTCTTAATCATTTATAGTAATCTAACACAAACAAAAATTAGCTCAAACGCTCTATTTCATTTCGGAGGCCTCGCGAACGAAAGAGCTCGAATCACTTAATCAGGAGTTGGTGGTGAAAGGAAAAGGAATGCGATACTCTGGCTCCGCCATATTTAGTTCCTCTAATTGTACGGTACTCCTCAGTTTGCTGAACGTTTCTAGGGCAATTCAGTTGGGAAACTCGCCTTTCGGACAAGGACCCCTTGCATCCGTTAGAATCGAGCCACCGGAACCAAGGTCCGATTATAGCGCCGCCAACTGGCGGTCGGTCCGTTCATTTAGTTTCTTGGTAGTTCGCTAGTTTGTTGGCGGCATAATTCGCTTTGAGACAAGGTGGTCAGCAAAAGCTCCCTTTGCAGACACAAGTGCGATTTAATTGCGTTTTGTTCTTCCCTATTTCGGTATGCATAGTTCATGGACTGACCGCTAGGGTAGAAATGACGGCGCTGCGATCGCGTACAGTTGTCTCAAACCTGTACTTCGCTGAGTACAGGTTGGAGACAGTTCTCCGTAGCAGGCTCCGTTCCCAACTGAGTCTGCTTCGGAGAACTGGAGAACACGCGTCTCCGACTGCGGTTCTCAACGCGTCCCAAAAGATCGCCCATCGGTTTCCGCCTATAGTGACTTCATCAAAGTGTCATGTTGTCACCAAACGCCATCTTGGCTATGTCACAGCGGCGGTGGTGGATTTGGCAGACGGCTGTTCCGCTGCACCTAGCTCTCCAAAATGAGAGTCCACGGAAGCTTCGGTTGCCAGCAGTGGCGTACCAAGTTGTTTTTGAGTGGGGGGGGGGGGGGGGGGGGGGGGGGCAAACCAGACTCTTCCCCCACAGGGCCGCTGGGAGGTGCCCTTCACCCCTTGGGCGCCGCCAGTCAGTGTTCGCCCTGCCCAGTGGTGGCTGTTTCAGGTTGAAGGGGGGGGGGGGGTACAAAACACATGCCTTGCCCCCCCCCCCCCCCCCCCCCCTCAGTTGGAACGGCCGTGGCAGCCAGGCCTTTTGGGACGCCGCGATGACAACGATACTGGCATTCCCTTGTGCTTTTCCGAACTTGTACGCCCACCCTTTAGTAGCACGGCATTGGACAGCATAACACTCCGGCTTTTGTAACTTCCTTCAGCGGGACCACGGGTGGGCGGACTAGGACGTTAGAAACACTAGTCGGACACGAGCTCCGAGCACTGTATTGTTGCAGGAACGGCGAATAGAGCCGCGCGACCGCCTCGCAGACTGCCAACTTAGGCGGCATGTTCGGCACGGGCCAGAAGATGCACGTCACTGAATGGGTGCACCACGCCGTGGCCGAGATGACCAACGACGCGGCCGGCAGTCCCGGAGACGTGTCCCCCGCCTGCGAGCCGGACTCCTCGTGCGGGACGCCGCTGGACACGCCGTCCGACGAGCCCGGTGGCTCCCCGGGCCGAAGGAGCTCGGTGTCCATCAACATCGTGCCCAGCTACCACTTCATTCCGTCCAGGGAGTCGATCAGCACCATGCCGCCGCCGGCCAAAGGCTGCCTCAGGAAGGGCGGCAAGAGCACCAAAAGGGTCCGCAGGTAAGCGGCTCTAGCGGAGCTGAAGCTCTTCGATGAAATACAGGCTCCGCGTTTCTTACACGTACACCGACAGCCAATGCCGCGCGAATGTGCGAGATACGTGAAAGAAGCGAGTCCTCTACGCCGCCATTTTTATATCGATGGCCGCTCATTTCGGTGCTGGGCCCCCATTTGATTCGAGGATAGCACGCGGCACAGACCTCGTGCACTGGCGCTTTCGAACTTGCTTGTAGAACTACGATCATAGGCTTTAAGCCGCATGGAGATCGAACTGTATACGGGCAGCGTTGTCTGCAGCTTGTTTGCGTAACAGGCGTAATAATGGCTATTTAGAGAAAACAGCGCCGTATAAATCCGTGGACGAAGAAGCCTGAGACAGGACAAGGATGACTTCACATGATTTGCAGGTTACATAATCGCGCCATGTTGGTGCTTATTCTTGCAAACCCCATTGCGGTGCCAACATAATTAAATGTTGCGCGCGGTAGCAAGGACACCACAATGGTGTTTGTTCCGATGCCCGTACGAGCCACTCTCACAATTAGAACGAAGCCGTTGCTATGCGGGGGGCAATTGTTCGTCTGCTCCTTTTGCAGGGGTTGTGGTGACGTCAGAACGCCGAGCTCTGAGTGGCTCTAATGAAGGGATAGTGGGTAGACCTTAATGCTAGCTACCTTGTGGTCTACCCACTATCCTTCCTTCAGAACCAATCACAGCTCGGCGTTCTCACGTCACCACAATCCCTGCAAAAGAAGCAGACGACAATTGCTCCCGCATGAGCACTTACAAGTTGCCTCTAGCGACGCTTTCGCTTAACAATGGCGTGCACAACAGGTCCGCTCAGAGCGTTGCCCTCAAACTTGTATACCTTCTCGTTCGCTCGCACTTGTGGTGAAATAGATTATAGAACGCAAGACGTGCGCGCTAAAATATTGCAGCCTCTACTTTGATGTAGCGAGGGACGAAAATTATACGCGAGTATACTGCGTAAGCGCTCGGTTTGGTCTCTTGTTTCATTGATGCTTCGCCGATTTAAATGCTGTATGCCGCTTTCAGCTTCGCCAGCCTAATCCTGCGTCAGAAACAAACGAGTGGTTTATTGCCCCCAGAGCTAAAGTGAGCCACCAGGGGCGTGACTGTCGGATCTCGAGCCCAATAGCTCAAAGAGTTTGGTCATAAGAGGACCGAGGGCGGGGCCTCAGCAGTGGAATTGCGACGCCATCAAAACCGCATTTTTCCAGCGCGCTCATATAACGCGGACTAAAAATGTAACCCGATCCCTTTGCTTAGTAGTTTTATCTGCGTCCGCAATTGCTAGAAAATATCGTGGCGTCAAAGGACAAAAAATCGAATAAGGATGTTCAGGGTACTCCACAGGCAGGCATGCAGGCGTACGCTGCCTTGGTTCAGTTCACCGCCGATGACATCCGCGATGAGAACGCCATGTGTACCGCTTTGTTTTCTAGTCACAAAGCGTTATAACGAGGGTTTCCGTAATTTCGGTAAATACCGATAGATCTGGGAAATTAACCTTCTCAGCGATCGAAATCGGAGAATACAGAAAAACTCCGAATCGGTGGCTATCCTGGAGAGAAAAAACCTTTACGAAAAGATAATCTTATCATAATTTTATTTCCTCTCGACCCAGAAAAAAACTGTCCGCGAGGCAGCTGTTTTCTTGAGAACCACGACCCTTATCTCGTCTCTTTATCGGTATCGGGGCGTTATTGGGGTCTCATGCACCTGCCATGGAGATAGGAGATTCCCGGCATCAATAATCGCAGTGTTGGGGCAGACTTGTACGTAGTTCAACTGTTCTACTCAAGTTACTGTAGTTTAGTAACTTTCAATTACATTTTTACTTCGGTAATTAGTAGTTTAATTATTTTTCTGAGTAACTTCTCAAATTACAAATTACTTCCGATTTTTAGTGGCAAGTTTGCTTATAAGCAAACATTCTTGCACAAAGAGATAAGATGTTGGAAGAGCAGCTGATATTTGCAAAGGGTCTAGGACTTTTCTATGTAGGGCGTTTCGGTGAGGACTTTTCGGTGCATAGACAATCAAAATACGATTTTTTTTTTTCTCTAAAGTTTTGCGAACCCCTAAAAAATGTGACCTCACAAAAGTGATAAAACAAATATCCCGAAGTAATCGATTTATTTCAATGTTACTTTTATTCCAAACTTTGGGTGGCAGAAATACACCTAAACAAATGAAAAGTTCACCGTTTATTGATTTTTTTGTGGTTGTTGTTCGGTCACTTACATTTTGATGAGTTTAAACAGCAGTTGTGTTCGAAGCTTGTGACTTAGAAAAATACCGTTTTCTACTCACTAATGGCGAATTCCACTGGTCGTTTTGGAGCGCGCCGGGATCAGTAACAAGATCCGAGATGGACCACGCGATCTGAACGGAATCGCTCCGGACCCCCATTGAACATGACCACACCTCCGGGATCGGCGGATGCCTTCCCGTCCTTCACCTTACCGCGGTAAGCACATGTTGATGTTTACAAGGTATTCTGATCGGACTCAACTTATTTCACTAGATAGCTTGCGGAAAGGTGTAAAGGCCCGTTCACACACTTGAGACCTCTTAGAACAGAGTGCCTTGAAACCTCTTAATATATCTTACTACGAAAGGACACACTGGCGCCATCTATTGGGTTGCAGTGTAAACTTGGTGGTCCGGAATATTTTCTATTTCTCTCGCGCCATTATCCTTTCTTTCTTGGCTCGAAAAACTTTTGTCAACGTTATAAACAAGCCTTTCTCATAAGTAATGCGCACATTTGACCTAGGAAATCCCGCAAAACCTTCACTCTTGTGAAATGCAGTTCCAGGGTCACCGCATAGATGGCGCCAGCGTGCCGTTGTGTTCTCTCGTCCTAAGAAATTTTAAGAGGTTTGAACAGGTCTCGTCTCTCTCGGTCGTACTCGGTTGCAAGTGTGTGAACGGGCCTTTATATCGATTCTTCCAACTTGGCCGCCGTTGATACTCAACCTTCTGGCAGTCCCTTGATGGTCGAAAGAAAGTCCAAGCAATGAGCCACGAGGCTCGCGACATCTTTTAAATTTGCGCGAAGAAGATCCACCACTTATTCTAGATTGCATATAGAGCTCCACAGCGATGGCCATGAAGCTCGTAATATGTCCCGATGTTTTACGGCGAAGAGAAGGGTATGCTTGCTCATCTTACCGTACTCGTACAGTTCATGGCCAGCAAACAAAATTAGCCTTGCATTTTTTTTTTAATACTGCCGGAGTAGCGATTTATTTGCAAACCGTCAAAGGAGCCAATATCCATATTCAGAAATGTCAATTTTAAATCTTTTTGTACAGATTTGTATGCAGTGTCGACCCTGTCGGGCTCTCTAGACAAGTTTGAAAACAAAAGGAACTTGACGGGGAAAACGAAAATCAAGGCCAATGATAAAAGAGCAATTTCATTTCGAACTCTACCCCAGGCAGCCCAACAAATTGCATTGGGGCAGCTTACCCTTTGCGACGAGTTTCCCGTTCTGCAAATTGCCCAGTGGTCATGCGGCTTGTTTGAAAAGTTGGCATTCGAGTATTCTTCGATAGATTGACTTTCGCCGAGTTGACCGGGTCTCCCACAAGGACTTGCAAAAACAGATTTATAAATGGCTTATATAGTGACAGGAGTTGGTGTAAGTTTGGCTGGCGTTGCGTTTTAGAGAATTAAATCTAGAGAACCATATTTGCAACATGGTTTCATCGAACTACTGGCACGAAATGTTTGGCGAGTAACTCTGTTTTTTCATCGTAAAAGCTCGATCACTGCCTTCTTCTCAACTCAGCCATGGTTTCAGGTTCGCACTTTTAATGATAATAAAAAAATATATAAGTTTTGGTGCCCTACTTTGTAGTTCTTAAAGTTCTCTTGCCACAACCAGAAGAAAAAAACAGTGAGCCGAGAACATGGCTTTAAAATTGAGAGTTGCTCTCATTGGAGAGGTTCCAATAAGCTGTTAAAAAAAATATAATACAGTTACAAAAATAAAAATTTAATTCTAATCCTAAAAATAATTCAAGGCACATATTTACAACGAAATGTAAATGCACCGAAACGTCCGTACACCGAACCGCCTTACACCGAAAAGTCCGCGCAGTGAAAAGTCCGTACACCGAAATGTTTGTGCACCGAAAAGCCCGTGCACTGAAAAGTCCGTGCGCCGAAAAGACCGTACCGAAACGCCCTGCACCGAAACGTCCTACACCGAAATGCTCGGATCTCATTTGCACAGAGGGAGATTTATGTGACGTAGGCAGGGGGAGGGGGGGGGGGGGGGGGGTGTTTGGAAGGTCCGCAATATTTTCTAATTTTCACGAGCCCCCCTTTCCTGCTACGAGGCGCGGGTAGTGCAGACATGTCGCAAGTGAGGCCACGTACCTGCGGGATTAGCGCCGAAGACTTGCGTAGGGAGACTTGAAGAATTTAAAGACAGGGCTTGTCCCCGCTTCTCCCCAACGTAGGAACTCTCGCCCACTACAGGAGGTGTGCACATTGCATCCTCACTCAAAGGAGGCAACAAAATGCAGCACCCGCTCTGAAGCTCATCTGTAGGATGCCGTGTTTTTGGAGCTTATTTTCCGTCAAATTCGAAGGGTGTTTTCAGAGTTTATTTTATTTTTTGGAAATTCGGAGTTTATAGCAGTTTATTTTTGGATGATTCTAAAATCTCCGAAATTCAAAGCTTAATTTTGCAGCGTTTCCTATTAAAAATTAATAAATTATAACTGGGTCTAAACGTATACTAGATACAGAAAACTAAAACGCGCTTATATCAATCACTATTTCTTCAGCTGTGTTTGCTGTTGGTGCCATTGCCATTGGCAATACTAATTTGCCCCGTGGCAAAAGTTGCGCACACATCTGTGGCTTCGATAAACGTCGATACCTTAAAAGCAAACTCCTGGAGGTAGTCCTTGGTTAGCACGTATTCATCCCATCCTATTCCATGCTACCCCGCAGCCGTGCGAGGTGGAGTGGTAAAGGATGTGATAGGTAAGTTTCAACTGCCCCTCTTCCAATCGCATGCAATCTCTATGGTTCATAGCTTTAAGTGTTACAAAAACACAACCTCTCCTTCCTCTTAAAACGCAAATAGTATGGCCCAGACTGGACACCAGTGCAGAGGTTTTTGTCGTGACCCGAAAGTACAATGACATGTCGTACTGAACCTTCACGAGATAAGCGGTAAGAGCCCTTTGTCAATGATCCGAGATTTGAACGATAACTGTGGTAGCGTTTTCCCGGGACCATCGACTCTGTGCGCTGATCAAACTTAATTGTAAAATACCGTCTTTATTTTGTTTATCTGGGGGGGGGGGGGGGGGGGGGGGAGAGAGAGAGAGAGAGAGAGAGAGAGATTTATCGGATAAATTCGATTTGACAAAAATTTTACCGGCGGGTGGTTTTCGGAGTTTCTCGGATATATTTGAAAACACGGAACCCTCCTCATCGGGTACTCCCGCAGTTTGTGTTGTACTTGAATAAACGCGTGCTAAAGGCAACGCAAAGGTGATCTCTTTGCGTTTCCGTTCCTTCCAAAATTCAGAATAGGCAGGTCTTTCAAGATTCGAAGATCGTTCGAGAAAAATATAATAAACAAGCAGTGTTGGGAAGTACTTTACTTCAAGTAGGTTTAGAAATTGCACTTTACTTAAAGTCCATTCTCTGAGCATGTACTTGTACTTCCCTCAATTTTTCTTTTCTGGTAGTTTCCGAGGAAGTGGAACTCCCGACTTCAAAATAAATTTTCCAAATTTGAAAACAAAAGAATGTCGTATCGCCATGTGAACACGCGCTATCGTCTTTCGGGACGTCATTTGGTCATGCTTCGAGTGAAGTGATGGCGGCTAAAAGACCGATACAAATAAGTGCCTTTTAAGTTGACAGTGTTGAATAGTTCGTCAGCTAGAGTAAAACAAGCACTTTGTGGCGGCTTGACTTTATACAATAAGTGCCGTCATTTCCAAAAAAACTGATGCACCTCCGATTACCCTTAAAGCAATGCATACCAGTTTTAAAAATAAAACTGTTTCGGGATAAATGGACATCGTAAAAGATGGTGTTACAAAGTACATGTAATTTTCTTGGAAAGTACATTGTAACGATAGCACTTTACGTCCAGTACATTGCAAACGGTGAACCTACTACTTTATTTGAAACTTTTTTAACAATACAATCATTTCTTGGGAGGAATACAATAGGAGTGGCACAAATCATTTGTACGTTGCTACTGTGCTTTTTCTAAATATTTCAACTCTTTTTCCGTTAAGGCTATAGCGTAGGAGTGTATGTGTGATTTTACTTTTTAAGTGTGTCTGATCTTGTGCGCTGTGAAACATTATCATAAATAACCAACTCGCCCAAGCTGAAGTTCTGACTAAAGTTCCTTAATTAACTTTTTACTTAGTAAAAATAATTATATTGTTTCAATTAGAAACATGCTGAGCATCATCGAAAGCCACCACATCAGTCATTTTTAGAATGACTCGAAGCTCGTGGAAAACTCGGGGGCGCACCAAAGTTACCACTCGTGAAGCAGGCGCAAAGCTAGCAGTGGCGTTACGCGATGATAATCTAATCATCCCCGTTTTGCCACTGCTAGCTTTGAGCCTGCTGCACGAGTGATAATTTCGGTGCACCCCAAGTTTCCCACGAGCTTCGAGTCGTTCTGAAATTGACTGATGTAGTGGTTTTAGATTATGCTCAGTGTGTTTCTAATTGAAAAAAAAAGTATATATAATTATTTTTACTAAGTAAAAAGTTAATTAAGAAACTTTTGTCTATTCTCCGACTTAATGCAAAGATTAGCCACCCACATAATGTCCTTCTGGCCGTATAACTCACCTGCACAAACCGTATTAGTGCATCTTTTACGAACGTTTTGTAATAAATCTGTTCGAATTAAAATGGAACACCCGGTTTATGACTTCACATCTTGAGAAACTAGATCTTCGGATAGGTCACTCTAATACTACATACTGCACGGTAAAAAAAAAAAAAGTAGTTACACTGAGGTATTGAATTTTCATTGTAATTTATGAGGTATTTCTTGACTGAACGCGCAACAAAATTCGATAACGTCTAAGACGAAATCGTGTTTAAAACGTGTAGCTCCTCGAACTCACCCTGCCGATGTATTTGGCGCAGAGCTAGCGTGGTGCGCACCACCATCCCGTTCATGGTGAACCGGCCCTTCGTGTTCTTCGTGCTCCACCGGGACCTGTCCCTGCTCCTCTTCCTCGGGGTCGTCAAGAAGATCTCCTAGGGACACCCAATCCCTCCACTCGCTTCCACCGGCCCAACCATACAAATTGTCTGCGAGTGCACGCTCAGAACACTATAGGGCAGCCACTCACGGCAAACAATAGAAGGATCCTAGCGGAGCCTATATACCTCACGGCGACGCGCTTGGAACGCCAATCATCGTGCTTCCTTTAACCACTTCAACCAATGAGAGGAAAGAACTCTGTCATCCTCCAATGGCTATGCAGGCTCCGTGACAAAGTCGTCCCACCCTTTTCGACGCTGAGAGAACATGGCCTCTGGATGATACCGATCTCTCTTCTCATTGGTTGAACCGGCTAAAAGATGCCCGATGACTGTTGCTTGAAGTCCATCGCGGTGTAAAGCGCGCAAGGACAATTCGTTGCGCTCTTGCGCGGTCAAGTAATCGAAGGGACCGTGAAATTATTTTTGTTTCAAATTAAAGTGAGCGCACAATTTTCCTCGGCTGGCGCTGAGAATTGCGTGATATGGTCCCGTTCCCCTGAGGAACAAATTACAAAACTTATCTTTGACACTCGAAGTACGCCTTCAAGTTCTTAAATTTCCGTCGCGTTAAATCATCACTGACTGCCACAATTAGGCATGTGTAGTGGACGGCTCATCAAAAAAGCCAATTTTGTTTTGTAAGCAGCAAAGAAGAATGAACGTTGTTGAACTATCAAAAGGAGATCTAAAGGACTTTCAGAGACTGCATGTTTTTAGTCGAAAAACACATCAATCCTCAATTCAGAGTAGTATTTGTGTTAGCATATGCAGTGAAGTAATCGCGTGGTTGGCAGTCATTAAACTGCTTTTATAAGTATCTTGTTATTTGACTTACAGAAATTGAGAGAAATTCTGGGGTAAATATACGAAAATCAAAGTAATGAAAAACAGCGAACATGATGATTAGGAGACTGATGCTGAAATACATATATGAGAGTAGATACATAAAAAAAAAACATTTTCAAAACGAACAAAAACGAATTTGGAATTATAAATAAAGTGATGCAGTCTAAGAATTTCAAGAAGCTCTAAGAACCTACCCCAACTAACTACATATTCTAAATTTTTTGCCTTTACCCGGTATGCTATTTAGGATCGCGAAATTCATAATAGTTATTATAGAATCGGGAAATGAAAATGATTCAAAGACCAGCATTCAATTACACCGGCACTTTTCAGTGGCGTGAAGTCAGTGGCGGCCAGGCTTGCCAGTTCTGCAAGTAGCCAAGAAATATACAATGCCGAGCATTTGTGACGATAATAATCCCTAGAAAAGGAGAACAAGGGGGACACAGAGGACAAACACAAATCTCCAAACACAGGGTGACTGGTGCGCGACCGAGAAAATTTCGCCTGGTCCGGGTATCGAACCAGAGACCTTTCCATTTCCAGTGGAGCGCTCTACCAACTGAGCTAACCAGGAGTTAGACGTCAGTAGAGCAAACGGGTTTTACCAGCTGCCACTAGTCTAACACCAACAAGAGTGAACGGCTTGCATTTTTAAGGTTATGATAATAATGCAACTAAAGGCAAAGGTACAAGCGAGCTGGACGAGAAGGACAAAAATAATTCGTGGAGAAGGGGAACAAGGGGGACAAAGGACTTGTTCACGGGAACTGAAGCGAGCTTCCAAAGTATTCATTTGGCACCATAAATTTTTTTGGAATCAATTGGGGACAAATTCTACAGTTCAAAGAGCTAATCCCTGCATTCCATTGGCATCACTTTTTCGTTGTTGCCAGTAGAGACTTTCAGTTAAAAAAACGCGATGATGACCAATATTTTAAACTCAATAACTCTGCGAAAAAAATATTTGGATCTAATATTTGAGATACTATTTCAGCGATGTTTATGTTTGTTGGTGTGTTTAGCAAATTTTCAGGCGGATCGAGGGTCATGAAGAAATCGCCGAAGTTTCCCTTTAACAAAGGAACTTTCTCCATCCGGAAAACGTAAAACAAACTGCGCTACACGTATCAATCTTAGGGGAACTCCCAAAGGACATTTGCGTAAGGTGCGTCCTTCGGTAAATTGGCAGAATCGAACAGACAGATCGCCAGTCGAAATGAATGTAATTGATTACTTTCTGTAACAAATATGTTAGAAACATTTATTTTAATCGTTCCTCGAACTTGTATTCCTCAGTAGTGATCACACAACCCCAGACGGATAGGATGGCTAAGATTAGAGCTTCAAGGGCTCCCAACGGTCCCCCAAGCAACTTGGGGCTGGGCATGCGCAGACGTTCTGCGCATCCTCCGTGCGACGCCCCATGCTGCTGGGGAAACCTAAGGCATTAGGTCCCTCCATCCTCCCTCTTGAAACAGGCAGGGCCGGGGATCGAGCCCTAAATAACCCCCAAGGCTGCAGTGCGAGCTCCCAAACATAATTCTTTTTCCTTCGTTAGCTTCGAACAAATGTCATGTTGCACTCGCCACGTGAATCGGGGGTGATCAAGGTTGCGTCATCGTGGGGCTTTCCAGAGCACGGAAAATAACGGAGTATCGCTTATCGATCACCGTTTGATATTTGTCCAAACGGACGGTTACGAAAGGTATGTTCGCGCGCAACTAAATGGAACATGTAAGGTGTCCCCATCGAGATGTCTCGGCTCGCCACATGACGGCGGTCCTTTTATCGCGTGAGATAGAGCAGGTGAGAGATCCGCAACACCTCGATAAGACGATCGGAGCTCGGACATAAAACAGCCGACTTTCCATCCGGCCGGCAACACAGCGTCGTCGTAGATTCACGGCTGCCAAGAAACGAACTGCCACCATGAAGGCTGTCATCTTGCTTTGCCTCGTCGGAGTCGTCGTGGGTAAGTGATGTTCCCGATCTCTTCGAACCAGTACGTAGCGAAAAAAAAAATAAAATGCACCTTTCCTGTACGAGCAAACGCGCCTATTCGGCTCGCATATTAAATCAGAAGAAGACAGACTTCATCAGTGCGTGATTCACATTACCAACAGCAGTCTTGAATCGTAACTCATTACAGTAACGCATATACTTCGTTACTTTTTCGGTAACTTTTAAAAGTAACGCGCTGCCTTTTCGAGATGTAATTCTGTTCTATTACTACTCTAGTTCTATTACTTTTCTTAGAGTACCTTCGAGGGAAACAACGTTACTTCTGCCCTTACTTTTCACAATCTTTTCAGCATAAAAACGTCATTAAACGAACTTGAGTCAACTTTTAAACTTGGAGGAAAGGAGGAGGGATGCATTTTTTTTTACTTTTTTCTCGATTTCTATTTTCATGAAAGAGATAACTTAAAATAAGTTACTTTTAACAAGTACCTATGTTGTAACTGTTCCGAATTACTCTTTGACAGTAAGTAACGGTAACTTCACTGCGTTTACCTGAAAGTGACTAATTGTGACCAAGCACTTTTTTGAAGGTAACTTACCCTAGGCTGAAGCACTCCAGCCCTGACATCGTTCAAGACATGTGGTTGTCCCGAATTAACCGAAATGTCTTTTCCTGAATGTAAGAGGACACGATATTTTTATAGGACGTTCAGATTTGCAATGCGAGACAAATGAAGACGCTGCTAGGTGCCGCATATAAAAGCGTGCTGGCTAGGTTGTTTCTTATCCTCTTTTATAAGTCAAGCCGCGTTATGCATGGCGGGTACCGGTGAGAAGCAAAATCCATATGCGTTCCGCTTCTGCCCACCAGGTTCTTGGAACGCAGCTCGCGCTGTGGGGGGATATATGGAAGTAACCCATTGACAGGCTTTCTGCGCAAAGGAGGCTATGTTTTGACCATGGTTTTGACAGGACTGCAATTTCTCGGTGCTCGTGAAGTAAGCACGAGTGATCACAAGATTGCCAAGGATACCCTTCCGTGTATGCTGCACGTGCTTGAGAATGGTCGGTGTCAGTTGTTGTTTGTCGTTCAAGTGGCTCACTGAGAGCTCAAGAAACGACACGCCTCTTGTCTTGCGTCCTTCAGCATTCGCTGCATGCCGCATTCTCATTGGGAGCGGAGCGACAGTAAAATCCTCGAGATTGCCTAGCGTTTATTAAGATGTCAGAATTGACAGGGCGTAGCGCTCCCTGTGCGTTGGACAGAATTGACAGAATTGCGCCTCAGCGATGCATTTGCTTCGTCTTCACTAGTCGATCGTGTTGTCCAAAGGGGCTTCACACTCCATTCTCAGAGGACGTCACCGCCGGTGATAGAAGTACTGCTCGTCCCTGGTGTGTAACTCTTCACACGGCAGCACGACTCTGGAAGGTTGCCGTCAACAAAAATCGCAGTAGGAAAAGCCAGCTAAGTACACTGTATGTGGAAAGCGGGAAGTTAATCAAAGCAATTGTCGTTTCTGCTGCAGATCACCAGTTTCACTGGTGGGTGCTCGTCTGGGCTCTTGAAGAACTTAAAAGACGAGGCCTGCACCTCTCTCCCTCCCCTCCCTCCCTCCCTCCCTCCCTCCCTCCCTCCCTCCCCCCCCCCCCCCCCCCCCCCGCGAAAACGTCATTTCTAGTGGATTAACACAGCTCCGCCTGTTGTACGGTTACAGGCTAAGAGTTCAGGTTCAGGGGAAACTACTCGAACCTCTTTCTAGTTAAGCAGAGTGAACGCTGGAGGGGAGGTCGCCTTCCCTCCAGCGTTTGCTCTGTTAAAAGTAGAAACAGGTGGGGGAAGTTTCCCCCGAACCCTTCTCGACCTGTGACCAACTGCAGCCAGCGTCAGTGTCGCCACCAGCGCGTCCTTCAGTGCCTCACAAGGAGCGCGACGCTAGCAGGTGGCAACGCCAAGATGCACGCTTCTGACGCCTTGCGCCGTACTCCCCTCAAGCTTCGGCATGTTTTCCGCTCAGGGCGGGTCGGGGATGCACTAACCATGACGTCATGCGCAGGCCTTGTCTTCTATCTGACATTTGTCTCAGTGCTCACCACGCAGTCAGGGTTACAAAACTGCACGCTGTTTCCCATCAAAACCACAATCGCGAGATTCACTTCGCTGTCCCTCTAAAGGACACGACGAACGTAAATTCTTGCCAAGTCCTCACGATTCTTCGTTCTGTCTTGGCAGCCCAGAGGAATGCCATCTGCAGGCTCCCCAAGGTGGTGGGACCCTGTAAGGCTGCCCTCCCTCGCTTCTACTTCAACTTAGACACCGGCCGATGCGAGGACTTCAGGTACGGCGGCTGCAAGGGCAACGAGAACAACTTCCAGCTCATCGAGGACTGCAAGAAAGCGTGCGAAGGTAAGTTGCGCCGCACCAGAGACCCCACAGACCAGAAAGCCTGGATTTCAGAGTGAGGGTAACCCAGACCATGGAGAGCGTTTTGCAAATGAATGGCGGACGCCTCCCGCGCAGTCGCAAAATGCGCATGCGCTGCGTTTTTACGTGGCGAGGGAGAAAGTGGGCGGAGAGGCAGAGGCGTTTGCAGACGGTCACCGCTCTCATCCTATCCTCGGAGCTCGTAGTGCATAAGCCACGTGACTCCAATCTAGCAGTTGTAAACACTCTGCAATCTAGGCACACTAACAGATATCACTGTTAGGGATTGCAAGAACCTCGGGTTCTGTGCCTCACTAAGCGACCAATATCGATGTTTATTCGTTGGAATAAAAGAAAGAGGTTATTTGGCAACCTTTTCGCCGTCTGTTTACGAATATATAAACTGGACCACGTGCGCGAGAAAAAAAAAAGTTAAGAAGGCAAAAAAAGAAAAAATCGAAACATGAAAACGTTGTTCCAAGCAATTTTTGTCGAGACACGAACCACACGAGGGTATCTGCGGTACAACTGCGAGATTGCTTCTAACGGGACCGTGGTTACGGTATGTGCGCAGTAAGAACGCTCGTTTCTCGCCATTGCGGAGCGCAAGTTCGTCTGCTTCTTGCCCAACGGCTGTGATGAGGTCAGAAAGCCAAGATCTCACTGGCTGATGGAAAAAACAGTGGGTAGACCTCAAGGCATCTAGCATTGAGCTCTACCCACTATCCTTACAATCAAAGCCTATCAGAGCTCGGTGTCGTTTTGACGTCACCGCAACCCCTGAGCGAAGCAGACGACTTGCTGTGCGCATACAGTGAAGCAAGCAATGTTCAGTCGGCGGGAATACGAGTCCCAGTCCAAAGCTGACACAGCACTCGTGTCCGAACTCTGCACCCCGTTGGCCCTCTTCGGGAGACGCCACGAACTCGGCACTGCAACTTTCTTACTGCTGACAAAGGCAATAAGATCTGATCTGATGCCATGAATAGACCAATCTTGTCATCTGCGAGCTACCGTCTACCCTGTGGGACGCGTTCTGAGCATGCGCATCAGCTCTTTTCTGCGGAATATCAGGCGCAGCTGGCACGCGTTCAAGGCACGGTGACTCGGCATATTTTTCGTCTGGTGATAAGCAGATTTGTTGTATGTAACAAGTTAGAAATAACGCGTTGGTTGTGTCGAGTTACTTTCTTCGGTTACGAAGTAATGGCTTGTCTTTTAAAAATAAAAAGAAAACGGGTAAGGTCTTTTTGTTTTTGATCGAGTAACAAGTAACGCTATTTAGCTACTTCTGAAGGAGAACGTGTCTAATTTGGCTTTCACCCTAGCTTGTGTCTGTCACAGGGACGAGCTGGGGTGAAAGCAAACGGGATAACCATTTGGCTTTCACCGCACCAGAAAGACAATAAGAAAAAATGTACACAAACTATGTAAGCTTGCCCACATTTATATAAGAAGCGAAGCACCATTAATGTCAAGAAAAAAAAATTGATTGGTTGCCACTACGTAAGAAAAACGATGCATTCAGAGTAACGACAGGGTTACCCGTTGATCTTGAGCTGAAGTACCCCGTTCCTTTTATAATCTCAGTAACGAGTAGCGGAATTTAGTGTTGTTTTTTCGTAACGTGTACTCTCCCGGTGGTAAACGCTGCAAAGGTGTACGGCGAACTCATCGATAGCCGACGCCAGCGTGTTCCAAGCTTTTGCGTCGTTCACCATCCAGCTCCCGAGAGCACGGGCAATGACTACGAGCACGCCGATTTCGAGACCAGCTGCAAGGTGCCCGCCGAGGTGGGACCCTGCGCCGCGGGCATGCGGCGCTGGTTCTTCAACGCCAACACCGGCGCCTGCGAAACCTTCCTCTACAGCGGCTGCGGGGGCAACGACAACAACTACGAGAGCCAGGAAGAGTGCGAGTTCGTCTGCCAGCCCCGTACGTGCACCGGTTGATTCAATTTAGTGCGATAGAGTACAGTATAATACAGTTTGATCCGTAACTCTACAGAAGCCTTCGAGTGGCAGTGGTCGGCGTTTGGCTAAAAGACGGTTTCTTCGCAACTCTGAAGATGCTAGAGCCACAGTACCACTGTAGCTCAGACATCATAAAAAAACAATTTACGGTTTTCGCGGCATGCATGACAACAGAATTACCTGCGGGCGCGTTTCAGGCATGTTGGAGGCTTGGTATCGAACCAGGGACCTCTCCATTTTAGGTAGAGTGCTATACCAACTGAGCTAACCAGGCGTTAGACTTCAGTAGAGCTCCTGGTTAGATAGAGCCCATGGTTCGATGCAAAGACCAGGTGGAGTTTTTTTTTTTTTTTTTTTTTTTTTTTTTAGTCGCGCACTAGTCACCTAATTGTGTTTGGAGATTCCTGTTTGTTCTTTGTCCCCTTTTTCCCCTCCTTCACTGATTATTACCGTTTCTTGTCCAGCTCGCTGCACTTTTGAGTTACATAACAAAATAATAACTTTAAAACACACGCCATTCACCCTTGTTGGTGTTAACCTGGTGGCACGGCAGCCGTTAAAACCCGTTTGCTCTTATGACGTCCAACTCCTGGTTAGCTCAGTCGGTAGAGCGCTCCACTGAAAATGGAGAGGTCCCTGGTTCGATTCCAGGACCATGCGGAATTTTTCAGTCACGCACCAGTCACCTGTAGCTGTGTTTGGAGATTTGTGTTTGTCCTTTGTTTCCTTGCTCCCCTTCTCCAGAGATTATTAACGCGATAGTGTAATGGAGCTCGTGTCGCAGAAAAACCGGCGTCGGAGGCGTGACGGAAAAATCCTGATTGGTCGTTAAGGTCATGACGTCGCAGCCACATGACCTCGCGCCAGAATTTCGAACAACCCACAACGCTCACGTGAAACGCGACGACACGCGCGGAATGAAAGTGATTAAAACATGACGCGTGTCTCAAATGATTTCACTTTGTAAAGTAAGTCATTCACCGGGGGACTCGAACCCACGACCTTTCGGGTTGCGAACCAGACACGCTACTGAGTATGCCACTCAAGGCACGGTTGCACGGCGAATGAGAAGGCGATGCGAACGGGGCCCGATGACGCTATCGCGTTCCACTCTTTCATCGTTATCTTATCCAGCTCGCTGCACCTTTGCATTAAATTCATTAACATTATATTCCCAGTTTATTCTTAATGGTTCCGTTCAAAAGTCGCACTCAGGTATTATGTGCCTCGCAAATATGGGTTCCGAAGCTGACGCCAGCAAGTGTCGCTTGATACAGAGAAACTATTGAAGGCTCCGGCGAAACAGAATGAATGCAGAAAATCGCCCCCATGCAAGTATACCAAAATAAAATGAACAAAAGTACGCGAAACCCTTCTGGAAGACAGACTCAAACAAGCGCAACCACCAACTAGTCTATCGCAATAATACTAGACTGCGTTCCTAAGGTATCTGTCATAGCATAGTAAACAAAATAATATGCATATGCATATATAATCCATGTGTGAAAAAAAAACTCCTGAAACAAAACAAAAATAAAATAAAAAAGATGACACAATTTGAGATTGTATCAATTTGAGCAGACTCGTAATACAACCGTTTTTCTCTTTCATTTTTGCAGAATGAAGTCCCCATTTCGTCACCCCAGCCATCACTCTTGGACCAGAAGTATACCAAGAGGAGAAATAAAATGCACTCCACACGAATCTGTCTTCAGCACTTCACTGTTGTCAAAAGTCGCGCAGTGCTGAATTAGCAGTGCTGTGCGACTAGTTAGTCATAATATAGAAATATAGAAATTAGAGAAAAGCTCACTAAAGAAAAGCTCACCGGAGAAAAGCAAACCGAAGAAAGGCTCACCCACTTTGTGGCGGGCCCGGAGGAAAGCTAATAATTTCGTTTAACACTTGAGACTTGTGTGAACGAGCCGTTTAGGTGGTGGAGAAGAAGGAAAAGTTTTAGTCAAATTCGGAAAAGACACACCTACAACAAGCTCGATACCAGCTCACTACCACCAGCTCACCTGCGCACTCACAGTGGCGATGTGGGCAAGTTGGTTTATGTTTAAGCAATACATGGAACAGCGCACAAAACAACGAAGACAGGAGAGAAATACACGAGTCGAGATTCCGCAGCTCGTGCTGTCAGCGCTCGTACCTCTCTCCCGCCTTCGTTGTTTTGCGCGCTGTTTCATGTATTGCTTAAACATGAACCAACTCGCCCACATCGCCACTCTAATGAGGTACACATTGAAAAAAAAATCCGATAGTGATGCGATGAATAGCAACAAGCACATATGGCATCCAAACATAGTTGAGCTCAGGGAATGCTTTTCTGTCGAGTGAACGGTCGATTGACGAATTCGTAGAACAGCTTTCTCCCCATCCGCCGAAAAGGAGATTGTCTCCACGTCCGACAGTTTTTCGGTGAGCTTTTCTTTGCCACCCAATAATTATGTTTACGATGTAACACTGAACTTGCCGTAAGCGCGTGAAACGATCTGCATCCGGTTCGCCAAATGCAAAAGACGGAAACCTCCGAAATAGGTAGCAAAAAACAATTCTTGTCGAAATCGCTGCTCAGATATCTCGAGATTCGATAGCATTTCGAGACATCGAGACATAAGCAGCCCATCATGGACTGCTGATGAACTCCCGACGTGACTCTCGGTGTGTCTCACCTAACACCATGAAATAAAACAGCGCAAAAAGGTACAAAAGGAATTGAGACAAGCCGGACAGGGCAGAGCGCTGTCCTGTCCGGTTTTCCTCTTCCTTCTGTACCTTTTTGCGCTGTTTTATCTCATCATGTTTGACAACTACCAACTAGCCCAGCTTTCAACCTTATTACTGACCTAACGCGGTTGGCTTTGTCAAATTGAGTATGGTTGGAAAGGTAGGTGCCGACGAATTTCAACGTTTTAGAATAATTTACAGCGTATCGTTGTTTTTAAGGATATCCGCATAAGGGACTAAACAAATTGTGTTTGTGTGGAGTCACCTAGCGAAGACGTCGAATCGCGCGTCATTTCCCTTAGTTGCCAGCTGTCAATAGCATCGGCCGGAACCCGTGATGGTCAAAATTTAAATATATTCGAAGTTTCAAAGGAATAGACTGAATACATCAATCAAGGTTGTATTTCTTCGTGTTTTCATTGCTGCCTATAGTCGTCTCAAGGGTTGGTAAAAAAAAAATTTGTTTATACGGCCTATCGATCCCCTTCGATATTTATCTCTGAATGAACAAAGGGTGCTTGCACGCTGCCTAAGAAAGGTTTGTTGCAATCTCCGTATCGAGATGTCTACACGTTCCATGTAATCTCGAGCAGTAGTGTCATTAATCCCTCAGCCTGATAATGATTCCCATTGTCCCATGATATGGGGCTGGCGCGGGAACTTTTAGAAACTCTAATAAAAACAAATCAAAACGTGAATATATACAAAAAAAAAAGAAGGTCGGGGCTTCATTTATCCGACCCAAATGGTAGGCTGTCATGGTGCAATCTACCATGCACCTTGAAGATTGCCATCTCGATTTGCCCTGAGGGGGTCTGCGTTGGGAAGATCGCGCACCTATTGGTGACTCCAGCGAAATCGATGGAACCTGGTGGCTAGACCAGGAAGTTGTTTCAGCAGGTTCGCTCTGCAGCCTTCTCGAGCGCATCAGATATTCACAGCGCCTGACGGTAAAAACACAAAGCCGTGAAAGCAGGTTCAAAAACCCGTGGTGAAAAGCGCTCACTGACAGCTTAAGAAACAAGAGGCGGGGTCAGCATCTCCTCTGAATTGACCCCGTAAGTGAGGACCATCCAAACAAACCGTTGCTAGGACCGTTGTTATGGACAAATATATGCATAAGGGCTCGACGTGAGCTTAGACATAGTCCGATAAAAGGTAAATCATGTTTGGTAAGCATTGTGTCTTCTCAATATCTAATCATGAAAACTTTTTTCTGTCGTCTCAGTACCGTAAGCGATGAAAAAAAGCCCGTAATAAAGTTTCACAGCCGCTTTTACCTTGCTAGCAGACGAAATAAAGGCTTCCCGGATTGAGTGGTTCTTTCTGAGAAAGTACATGGCCGCGTTGAATGAGGTTGGTGGCGATCGACGAAACTTCTTTTCTCGGGTTCAACAGTCTGTGGCATTTCGGAACGGAAGAGAGCCCTTGCACAGCTTTGATCGACGCTCCAGGTGCGCATGCGCGCGAACACCTTTCCGTGGAGCTCGCGTTCGCAATATTTGAAAAGGTGAAAAATTAAAACACTGTGAAGCCTAATCATGAACGACGACAACGTGAAGAGCATCAAGGTCGAAGCGCAGGCCATTACACGTTTGAAGGATTTCTGAAAGCACAGTTGCTTTAGTGCACATCAGTGTGATCAAACGAGCTATGCGTAACGGATACATATTGTCGCAGAAGCAAACGGATAGACAAGCGTAAAACAGAAAATAACGATTTAATCCGCGAAGTTGTGCTAGAAACAAAAGAAAGGATGAGCGTCGACGGCCACAGCAGCAAGCGACGATGCGTCGGCGAGACAGCTGGCTGTGAGTCGCCAAAGGCGCGCTCGACTTTTTATCTACTTCTATACTCAGCAACTCGTTCACTCGACCTAAAATGATCGTTAGTAAGCTAAGGCGAGACAGCCTATAGGGCGAGAGAAAGAAAGGCCGGAGAGGAGGAAGCATACGAAACGCTGGAGAGAGGAGGCTCTCTTCAGCGTTCCGTCTGCTTCCTCCTCCCCGGCCTTCCTTCCCCTCGCCCTAGCCTCTTGAGTTGCAACGGACTACAGGCAAGATCTTTCTGGCTGTCTTATCTTTTACACTTAAGGTAAGAGTAAACTCATTAAACTCGAATCGTCTAGAGGCACGGAGAAACATTTCTTCTCGGTCATGCACGCCTGGCGCCTGCAAACTAAAGAATCAGTAAGATTTTTTTTTTTTTTTTCAGTTTGACTATGATTAGGCAGGTACGAAACTCGCACCTGTAATGCCAGCCTGAAAAACAAAGTTTGGGGTCGTGAGCTGCTGATGTTAGAATCTAAATAATTGCTCTTTTCTTTACAATGCACCTCAACCGCAAAATCAGAAAGATGGTCCGACGCTGCTGTGGTATAATGCTCTAATTGGATGCTTTACTCTCTATTTTTAGCAGATCTTCATGCGTGTGATGATTTTCGTCAGACAATAACCTGTATCGCGCGCAAATACAATTCGTTTTATTAAAGTCTGATTAGTTTTTTTTTTTCTTTTTATGCCTGCTATTTTCCAAATAAATACAATAATAAAATTGCACCATTGCGCAAACGACTCAAACTGTTGCCGACGGAATACTTCAGTTATTCCGTGTGCGTTTGTCGTGGAGTTCGTCGTCTGCAACAGGCATCTCGGGACGTTTCAAGGACCGGAAGTTGCCGTCGCAAATATTTCAGGAACAGCCGACTCTCGGCAAACTCCTTTCGTGGTAAGTCTGAAATCTAGGTTTCCTTTATCTATTATTTTTATATGTTTAAATTCCACGTCCGATTTTTGACCAATCGTTCTTTCGGAGCGAAATCCAGTTCCACGTACTCGTCCATAACAAAGCCCCTGGAAACGGTTTGCTTGGAGCGGTGACTTCACACTCACGACGTCAGTTGATACCGAACGTTTAAGTCGACATATGTTGTATACTACGATTCACGAATGCTACGCTAAACATGTGTTGACTATACTCTTCCCAAATTGCTACATTACCTTATCTATTAAGGATTTCGTATAGATTCAATTGTCGCTAAGGATTTACGCTTATTTTATTTCCACTGTGATTGATATGTTATGCGATTTTCTACTTTCTATTTTGTTCTACTTTATACGCTTTCTACCGTAGAATTATGTTTTGTTTCCTTCGTGCTCAGATCGTTAGACGAATGCAATGTGAAAACTACTTTTCTAGTGTTTGTCGTAATTCTGTTTAATTTCAACGTTTTGTTGTTATAATGTCCGAGTATTTATTTATTTATTTATTGTTTTTTCTTTCGCGATACTGCGGCTGTCTATTTACGGGGCTAAGGACTCTGTCAAGGCTTCAATGGAGACTTTTTCTCCATGTCCCTGCATTCTTATGGAGGTAAATATTATAATTATCACACCGAAGCCGATGAGATTGAGGGATTGTCCGACAACAACGCCGAAGGGCCAATCACAAAGACATTACGCCCCGCGCTTCTTAAGCATCAATGACTCAGCAAAAATTGTGAACCTTTCTAAAGTCAGATTTAACAAAATCCGTTTTTGCTCATTCTGTATTCGTTTGTGCGAATTCGCGTACGTTTGTTAGTTTTGTTTTAGGTTCTTAGCACATACAGACACGCACAGATGGGCACCTTCCTGGGACTGAGACTTCATTCTCATTGGCTAAAGGGAATAAAGGGAGATACCGAGGATCGCTCTTCCGACGGCTCGCCCGCTTCCAGGCGCGAAGGATCAAATGCTTCCGATCTTTTGAGCAGCGGCGTCAGCGGCGCCATTGGAAAAACCGCACCGCGCGAACAAAACGAGCGACCAAGTTATCGACCGGCAGAGATAAGAAGTCAGCGGTCAGTCAGACAACGAGAAGCGCAACCAACGAACAAAAATAGGTTTAAAAAAAGAAATGCCGACGTATGAGTTAAGAGTGCGACACATCGCTTAGTTCTATAAAAAAAAGAATGTTTTAAAGAAAATGTTCGGCTATTGCGATCCATACCTGGGAGGAATCGTTACATTCGTTTTGAAGTCAAAAATACCTTGGTAAACTAAAGGTTCCCCGAAGGTTTTTATACTTGATTTGGTACGAAGACCGACCGCGGGCAACGTCCCGATCCGATAGAGCCTAAAGTCTTAAGATAAGAGCTTCCCACAAGTCGCGACATTCTTTGAAGCGCCGAATGCGTGGCGGTACAGGTTTTAGGAAGCAAATGGCGGCGCACAGCAGAGGTTTGAACTGAATGACGCCATTTTGTTCCAGCGGAATGTGCTTTGTCTTTTCTATTGGTTGTCGTTACCTGTAAAAGAAGTATCAGGGGACTTTAATAGAGCCGATCGAGTGAAAAAGCGCCGGTTCATGGGGCATTCAGTGCGCGTGATCGGTTAAGCGGCTGATAGCGTACGGAGAAAGTACGGCGAGCGCGCATGACGACGCACTTTTGTCGCTGCTTCATTGGTTACGTCGGATCGGGGCTGCGGTCGCTCTTTCTCTGAAACGAACTTGTCCCGATCAATAGCGCTACGCTGGGATTTCCCTAGACCCCCCCTAGGGGGTGGTTAGGACCCCCCCCCCCTCGTTTTTCCGAAGGCACCCCCTTGATTCCCAACGACTCCTATATTCGCAATGCCCCCCCCCCCCCCCCCTTTAACCCCCAAAAGAAATTTAGACACCCCCCCCCTGATTTCAATCCCTGGGGAAATCCCTGGCGCTACGCGTATGGGTTTTCAAAGTCACTTCTTTGTCCTTTTAAGGACACACGTTTAAAACGCGAAAGGCAGCGTCTGTGTCGAAAAAAAACTCGTTAGAACTACTTCGGGCACCTTATAAAAAACTAAAGAAACATCTTTTTTTTTCTTGTATCGTACTGCATTGGATACGTTTTTTATCTACATTCTAAACCGTGTCGCGTACGCTGCCTCAACACGAACATCTAATGTTACCTTTCAATTTACTCGACAGCGAGTACAGAAGGACTAGCAAGCACTGACGTCCCCCAATTTATTAGAAGACCCGTGGAGGTCAAATAGATACAAAACCCCAAAATAGAAGTGAAAAAAAAAAAAAAAAACGCGTACGCCTTATTTACAAAACACAAACCATGCACATCCCGTTTACAAAACACAAGCACAAACACGTCGCGTGGACGTGTTTTATGTGTCTGTGATTTACTTTAATGCCTCGTTAAGCCGAGTAAATAGGGCAACTGACAACTTGGTAAATATTAAGGATGAATACGGTTCAGAGACATTCTGCATTGCCCGGACATTTTGGTTACTGCACCCCGTTCCTGGGATACATCAGGGACTTTCAGCAAACCGTACAACCGTTACCGTGGGCCCGACTGCGCATGTGCGACCGCGTACCGTTCAAATCCCACAAACTTTGATTTTAGTGTAACGGGTACTCGTACCGTGGTACCGGAGCTCCACTGGAGCGTACCCTCGTGACAAAAGTTGACGAAAATAAATAAATTCATAAAAACGGTGGCGCAATAAAGTGGAATAACGAGAAAACAAAGGATCGACATAAACCGGTTCCCGATACTCAGGGACAGCGTTTCTTGGCAATGCAGTCAAAGCTATGAGCGTAGTTGAGCTCGCGCACTCTGGGCACTGATCAAATCTATACGCGCGCCCTCTTCATTTCTTCTGATATACCATAAAAAGCCGCTCCCACTTGGGAAGCGCCGGTATCGGGCTCGCCACTGAAATGAAATGAAAAATAAAATCAGCTTCGCTCCCTGCGCAAGAGTAATGCCCGAGTTACACGGTCAGCTTTAATCTCAGTTAAGGTCACCGTAGTTTGCGGCCACTAATCACGGTTAGACCCAACTCTACCCAACACGAGTATCTTGATCCCTGTTGTCAAAATAAAGGCAAGCGTTGTGTCATGTCATCACTAGAAGTATCGAAGCAGATTATACATAAAATACATCACAGATTGAATATTTCGAGCGTTTGCGTAGTCTTCGTAACTTTCATTTAAAACTTACAACAGGAATTTGACGAAAACATAAAAAATGAAAACAAAAACCAAGTCTGAGCTCTTATCCGCTCAAGTACCTCTTGACTTACCTAACCTTTCTGCTCAGCTGGGCTGCCGCAAGGACTGAGTCGACGTTACTACAGCAAGCGCAGTTGGCAAACTACCAGCAAGACGCAGACCCTCTCATCTCTTCCCTGACGTTTGTCTCCAGTAGTTTCCAGTTGACTGAAGCGCCACCTTTCTTTTCTTGCCCTCCACGACCCGTCTCCCAAAAAACAGTTCCCAGAGTAGCCGCAGCGTGTAAGAAAGATGGCCCTCCAATCAACCGGTGACGACCATTGGGGAAGAAGGAAGGAAGGGGGGGGGGGGGGGGGGGGGGGGCGGTGAACCCCTGCCGGGAAGCATCTATGAAAATGCTTAACACGCAACGTTCAACTTGGAGTGAGACTCTAGGCCAGTCCTAAGGCCTCTGAGAAGCCACTCCTAGAGTACGAAAACCTGCTCCGGTCCAGCGATGTCCTCGAGTATCTTCAGACTGACGTCAGCCTCCGAAAGTCACGCCTGTGGCACAGCGCACATGCGCAGACGCCCCGTTTTTCGCAAAGCTGGTTTTGCACACGCACATGGTCGGGCCTAGGTGGGGGCGAAACGCCAGCGTATTTGTATTCAGTACGTGAATAAGGCACCTTAGTTTTTATTAATGTTGTGCTATGAGAGCCCCCGCGCTTGCGGGGCAACCCGTCGAGTTACGGTACATCTGCGCATGAGCAGTTCCATGGCCGATCAGTTGAGAGGCCACTCCTCCTCTTGGAGTTCATTGTGACGGTGACATCACAACCTATAGGCACCGTCGCAATTGAAGTTGGGAAAGATAATCCGATAACATTGGTGCCTGAACACTCTCACTTAAGAAACTAATAGACCTGTGTAGACGCTTTCCGCACGCGCCATTGAGGACCTTCTTTTGTCTTACCGAGACGCGAGTCATTGAAGCGGGCGTTGACCAGCCTCCAGAAGGGCCAATGCTGGGGAGAAAGACACAGTGGAATCTAAAATGTCGATGATAACCTGTCTTTCTGTGGTAATGATGAAGTGATGTAAACGGAATTAGAGGAAATGAAAACGGAAGGTTGGTTATGGCGGCACCCATGCACAGCTGCTGCGAGGCGTCTATAAGGAATGTGCCCTTTTTTGTGTACTGTTTGTGGGCGTAACGATTGTGCCGCATTATATAGTTTTATTTACTGGACGAGAACCCCATTTATTTATGTTTTCCAACGGAACAGTTTACCGTTTTTGTTTCGCGGAACTATTTTAAATATCTCCATATTTGGTGTGTTGTGTATACCGTCAGATTCGTATACGTGATAGGAGACCACATGTTGCGCACCAGACCTTGTCAAGCCAACAATACTCTTGGCTTTTTTCTGCCCCCTGGAATCTTTAAATGTATAGATGCAAATACACTTCTTGACTATGTATGGGCGCAGAAATAAAGTGGCGACGATGGTGATGTAAAAAAAAAAAAAAAAAAAAAAAAGTGAATCCTGGTTTTCGAATGCCATTACTTTGTGACGGAGAGTGTGCTGTGGCAAGCGAAAGCACCCTCAGGTCGGACCACACAAAAAACTGCGGCGCGACTGGTGATCGCATGTTTACGCGTTTTGCGGCCACCGAAGAAATGTGGACCTTGCAGCGCGATGGAGAGAGGCTCCAGGCGCTGACTCCGGGGCTCCGGATAAGGGGTCCGCTGCTCGAGCATAAGAGACGGCCGACCGTCTGACCTGCGGCCAGATCTCAGTGAGCGCAGCGCACACCGAGAGAACAGCAGCCATGGTGTTCAAGTTCCTAGTCTGCCTGGCCATCGGTGAGTGTCATCTTCCAACGGCACTTCTAGACAGTCCTCCAAGTGCCGTACAACGCGAGCCTGCAAGTTGAAGCCTGAGACAGTCGACGACTGCCGAGAAAGCGGCTGTAGCTCGCATGTCGCGCGAGAACATACGTGCGGCTGCAGGGTTATCGCAACAGTTGCAGGGGTAGCAACGAACGCAGTCGCAGCTAGTGCACTTGGCAGAAATGTGTCGAATAAGGCGAAAACCAGGAAGAACAAGATGCGAACGGGAAGAACACGAGCGGAAAGGATTGACATTTACACTGGGGTTACCTGCAAAGAAAGTTAGAATATAAAGCTAGACTCTCCAGAAGATCAACAGACGATAAGGTTCTTATTGTAAGTTAAATATCTAACATTCCTTAACACAGGCGGCATGGCCCCGTGGGACTCTTTTAAAATGTGCATTTGATTATTTTTCGAGATGTCTTTCAGTACAGCTAATAGGAAGTTTTAGTAGTTCGTTTTCGCCGATCCGTACAGTAGTGCAGTTCATGTCCACGCGATTGCGAAAAAAAAGAAAAAAAAGGCTTTCTTTTTTGGCTATGAAGAGCACAAGACCACTGCATCGCGGTACCGTTCACCCTTCCGATTGGCCTAAAATATTTCAAAAATAAAACACCGATTATTGGTGCCCTATTTGAATCATGAGCATGCATTCACTCAGCAACGTCCTAGAGTTTATACTGCAGGATTTACCTTGAAGAGTTTATAAGATAAAATCTGGTGGTGAGAAACAAGATTATCGAGTTCTTTAGTTAAGTTAGCGCTTTCTGGTGCGTCAAGAGCAAAGGCTACGACAGATCAGTGCAATAGAAAATTTAAGGCCTGAGGTGCAGGCTACTGCATGGGTCGTTGTGACGATATGAACAAGGGTCACGTGATCTGCAAAGCGACAGTCACACGGCTCATACAAATGACAGGGTATTCCCTACAGACACGATGAGAGGATAATCTGGGAACAGGCCTCAGTGAAGTTCGAAGAATGTTTGCTTCGTACATATGCATAACATCTCTGCAGACTGCTCTTTTGCGGACAAATGTTTCAGGAGCGTCGGAAGAAACACGCCTCAGAGCTTACAGTGTCTTTTGTATGAAGCAGTGTGACCGCAACTTAAAGGGGCCCTGCAAAACGTTTCTGGCAATTTGTTGAATTTGCATCACGTTCGCTCGAGCTATTCTGCGGGACTATAGCAATACATAAAAAAAATATAATAAAGAAGCAATCGTATGTATCTTGAACAAAATGCGTGGAAGAAGGTCAGAATTTTAAGCAGATTTTCTTGTTGATGACGTCATTGAACTGAACCAATAGAGAACCGAAACGACAAGAGCGTGCAACAGCCATTCGCAATCTTGCTAATTGTTGGAATAGATCGATCTCACAACCTAAAGACCGGTTCAGACACTTGTGTTCGAGTGGGTTTGACTGCGTTGCGTCGAGAACCAAAAGCGAGTCACTGGCACATCAGTGCTTGGTACGAAGCGTAGAATCCAATTCAAGGAATCATCTTGGCACGCGATATAAGCAGCAGGGATGTCCTGGTTTCTCGCAGCCAAACGCAGTCAAACGCAACTGTCTGAACCAGGTGGCACGAGCTGTCTCGGGAGCTGTCTCTGAACCACGGTGCTCTGAACTAAAGTTATGCTGGCTTCACGCTTGCGCCGAACGCTTGGTGAGATCGGTATATTAACATGCAGTTATGAAGATGCGAACACCATACCAATTTATGGATGTTTAATGCAAAAATTTGAGTGAGAATCACGCGCTCGAAAAGACCAGAAGGGGTCGCGTGCACCGTATTCAGCCAATCCTACCTCTACAATTCTATGTTGTCATTATCCGGCGCTCAAGACCAATGTCGTCACTGAAGGCTTGTGTTGAACACAGATATAGGCCCGCTCTACAAAGCAGCATTTGGTTTTCTTTGTCGCTTTGTAGTGCCAAGCCGGGGTCACACTGCTTATACATCGTACAAAAAACAGTCTGCATACAGATTCGAACGCGAGTTACCGCAAGATCCCTGCTTCGAATGCCGCATGGCAATGAGTTCAAGAAGAAACTTGGCACGCGGCTCTCGAACCATGCACGTTGCGGTAACTCGTGTTTGTAGACGGTTTTTTGTATGACGTACGAGCAGTGGGACCCCTTCGGCTTGACCTCTGGTGCGGAAGAATTAATAATAAAGACTCAGGGGTGAAAACTTCAACGTAGGTTAGATGTACTGGCCCGCTGTCGCTTTAGATCGATGCGCGAGTATTTGTGTCACTAACGTGCCACAAACGTAGGCTTGGCTCCTGTCCTGGGCCAGCCCGATCCGGAGGTGTGCAACCTTCCGGCGGAAAGGGGCCCTTGCCGTGCGAGGATGCCGCGCTGGTTCTTCAACAGCGAGACCCAGGAGTGCGAGACCTTCATTTACGGTGGTTGCCTAGGCAACACCAACAACTTCCTGACCCGCCAGTTGTGCCTGCTGACCTGCGCACCAGGTATACGACCGACCGAATGACAGGCTTGCCGCGAGCGCTGAGACATGCTCATTTTTAAGGCCATTCGAACACTTGCGTTTGCTTAGGGACAAGCCCTGGTGATATCTTACGACGAGTCAGTCAGTAAATGTTTTATTAGCAGGTAAAATCATGGCTGATTGATAGATATCATCTAGCCTTACGATGAGAGAGGGAGTGCAGTTCTCGGGGGCACCTTTGTTGTTGTTTGCACGCTGTTCACCCATTTGTTATCATAAACCAACTAGCCCAGATCGCCACCCTAATTCATCCATGAGCTGGCCCTGGAACTGCATTTCACTAAAGCGAAGGCTTTGCGCCATCTGCTAGATGAAATGTACGTACCGTCTATGAGAAATTGTTGTGTAAAACATTGTCGATAAATTTTTTTATTGTTTTTTTAATGATGCGCGAAAAAAAAAAGAGCAGAAACACGTGTTTTACGGCTCTCCAATATATTGCAGCAGTGCGTTCTCTCGTCGTAAGAGATTTTTACAGGTTTTAATGCACACGCTACGGGAAGCAGTCGCAAGTGTGTGAAACATCCTTTATTCGTTCACTTCCGGAAATACCTTCGGCCTTCCATCATCTTTTCGATGCACTTGGATTATCATTTTGCGATTTGAGAACGGAGAGAAAGCGGGATATAACGTAACAAGGTCGGCTTTGGGATGTGTTCGCTCTGTTCTAAACTCGAGGTTATAAGATAGAAGAGAGCATACGTGGGAACGACCTCATCCCCACTCCGGGTGGTGCAATGTGGGGTCAACGTGAGGCCTTGTGCAACTTTCCGGAAAGGTATATTTGCCCGGTCACGCCTTACCTTAGAGACTCCTTGAAGGGTGACACTGGACGTAGATTGAAACACTAACGTCGGGGCAAATGGGGAGAAGGAGATACTCAGAGTGGCCAAAGGCGACGATCGTTGAACGACGATGGATTCGTCCCGCTGATGAATCGAAATCGGTCTCAGTATAGCATCCTAATGGTTTGCTTTCATGGTGGTACTCTGGGGCCCCGAGAAAATTTCTTGTTAGAAAGGGGCAGCCAACGCTCTGCCAAGAAAGTTGCGCCACAAGGAGGCTATAATTCTCCACGGAATAAAATTTCACACTGAGCCTTCCATGAGCTTCTTTTCCAAGCTTTTCATTTACCACCGCAGAGTAGCTTTTTGACGAAAAGGCAAACAGCGCACAGTAAATGGGGACTAAAGGAAGTGCAAACAGGACAGCGCTTGTCCTGTTTGCACTCCTTTAGTCCCCGTTTACTGTGCGCTGGTTGCCTTTTCGTCAGTATGAACCAACTAACCCACATCGCCGGTTTGTTTCGTAATACCTGCGCGCGCGTCACAACGCAGAGTCGGAACTTGACCAGACGCTGACGTCGTCGCCGCCTAGAAACTGCGAGGCCCCCGCGGACCCAGGACCTTGCAGGGGCTACTTCCCGCGCTGGTTCTTCGACGTGGAGACCAGCAAGTGCGAACAGTTCATCTACGGCGGCTGCCAGGGCAACCCCAACAACTACCACAGCAAAGAGCAGTGCGAGAGCACCTGCGCGCCTCGTACCCATAACTGTACGTGCCACAGTCGCGCTGCTTCAAGTTAAGAACAGCGAGCTAAAAATAGACCTGGAAAGGTGGAGATAACCGAGCAGAAGCTACCTGACTGGTGGCATCTGTCGAGAGAATGAAGAATGTTCTATTATTAAGGCCGGTAAAAACTTACAGTGCGTCATTGTGCTGTATGTTTGACCTTCACTGTCGTGTCGCTTCCGGAAGGTGATCTCACCAGGTTGTGAAGAAACTTTCTAGTCGCAACATCTTTAAGTTACTTTTAAGAGGCTTATCCCTAATGTTTTGTATATCAGGTATATACGAACCGTTGAAATTAAAAACATTGGCTAGGTGGCGTAAGTCACCACCCGATTAAAAGGACGACGGCGAACTATGGAGGCTACGGCATGGTAGGGCCGGGTTAAGCACTAACTATTTCATAATAATTGCTCCACGCCTTCAAAAAAAACTGCTACCAAAACAAAGTAAAAAAAAAAAAAAAAAATTAGCGCCTGCGAAACAAGTGTAGGAAAAGCTTCGCGAGTTCTTCTTACACCCGCTTCTGTTATGCTGTTATGCATTTGTGATATGTTTAGCCAGTGGCGTCATTAGGGTCAGCTGCACCCCCTCCCCCGCCCCCCGCTCTCGTCGCCCGCCGAGGCACCCACCTGAGCGCTGCACCCAGGGCGGTCCGTCCACCCCCTCCCCTCGTGACGCCACTGTGTTTAGCGTATACACGTTTTTGTAGTAACTCAAAGGAAAAACTCCAGTTAAAGCTCCAATAAAGTGAGCCGACGTGTCAAGGCCTGCTTGGTTTCTTTTTCTGCCACCTCTAAAGCAGAACCCAAGCAGGTTTCGAAACGTTGGACCACTTTCTTAGGGGTTTGGTTGGAGCATTTTCTTTCCATTACTGTATAGATCCACTCAACCAGACAGATCTCTGTCAAGGGTACTTCCGTTCCACCCTGTGTTCCTCTGTCGCGCGACGATGCAGCTGCCGGAGTCCTCGGCCGGTCCCGGCACCAAGAGACCGACTTCGAGAGGGACTGCCTGCCTGAGGCCGACTCCGGACCCTGCTTCGGCTACTTCCCGAGCTGGTACTTCAACGTGGAGACCGGCAAGTGCGAGAGCTTCACCTACGGCGGCTGCAAGGGCAACAACAACAACTACTACGTCCACGCTGACTGCGTGAAGACCTGCGAGAACTGTGAGTTCCCGGCTCACACCTGTGTCGTCACGCGCACCAATACCCACCTCAGGCCTTTCCCTTCTAAACGTCTATCCACGCAGCTCCGCCTAACACGCGTCAGCATCGCCGGCAACGCGTCTTGCAGTGTCTCAGAACGAGCGCGACGCCAAGACATCTGCGGCTTGTGGTGGCGCTTATCGAGCTTCAGTGTGTTCGCCGCTTGGGGTCGGGAGCCACAAGAGATGACGTCACGCGCAGGCCTTGTGTTCTATAGGTGGTATGGCGCAAATAGAAAGGGACGAGAGAAAGAGAGAGAGGGAACAAAGATCATAAAAATAAAGAAATAGCACAAGGAATGGTAACTCTTTATGGACGCGTTGCTGAGGAAAACGTACAAGAAAATAGACGAAAAAAAAAGTGTTGCTCTCAGGTGTAGATGAGAGATTTAGCCACTGCGGTACAACCGCTAACCTGAGGTCTTTAACGTGCATCGCGAAGTAGTGATTACACGAACGCGTGCCGGTACGAAACTCATCCAGATCGAAACGGGCTGGGGTGGAGGATATCGAACCCAGGAGGTTCTGCAGCGCGAACGTTCGCTCCACGCTCCGAGCTGAGACGCGTAATCCCACTCGGCCACCGCTCCCCTCGCGTGCCCCAAGGACCAGCGCTCGGTCACTTTCTTATCACTGACATCAGACTCTCCAGTCAAATGTCCCGGTCCTCTGCCGTACTCGCTTGGTTTGTTCTACAGGCGACTCCTCCCACACTTTTTCTGACCTCCTAATTGGGACAAACGAGGAAAAACGGACATATACAGGCATATCCAGCAACAAACGAAACAAATTGAACGAAGATAACTCTAAGAATCGCCCGTCACGTTTTCTAAATAATGCTATTGCAGCGTCTTCATAACAATCTACAGGGAGTCTGATTTTAATTTGAAACAGATCAAAAATAGAAGAAAAAAAGCGGGTGGGAGTAAGGCGAGTGCCGGTCCTTACCATATATTTATGTTCAGCAGACATTAGAAGGATAACCATCAGGGTAAGTTAACTAATTAAATTTTAATGATTAGTTTTGCGTAGTGTTGCAAATGAATTTTTGACATCAATTACTATTAAAAACATAACTTTGTTTTAATTGCAAAAAAAAACTAATGTTTTGTATCCGTTTTTTTTTTTTATTTAAAAAATCGAGTTAAAATAGCGCGGCAAGCCCTGCGCACGATGACGCTTAAGGACTAGGCTGTAGAATCCTCTTCTGCCGGGCAGAAAACCTATCTCCAGTTCCTTTCTCTTCATTACCTTTCGCACTCTTCTCTGCTCCTCTCCTTAAGAGGGGCGGGTCTCTGAGCTGCTAATAGCACAAAGGACGAAGGTGTTCCTTTTTCCGAATGGAAAGGTAGAATTAAGGAGGAGTTTTCTCCTTTCTTATTGGTCTTTAAGGCCCATACACGCATTTGCTTTTGAGCGCGATACGTTCAGTTGCGGCAGTCTACTGTACACAGTCACGTTGAATCGCGGTCAATCAAAGTCAATAGATAATAAGAACGCGCTTGTAGCTCACCAATAGTTAGCCAAATACACGGCAACATGGCGGCGCCGAAAGAAATTCATTAAAAAATCTGTACAAAACGTTTTTTTTTTACGCTTTTTTGTTTTACGATTACCCCACTATCTGTGTGCCACACCAAGACATGCCCGCCATACCCCATGTGCCTCTTCAGTCGGAGATAACACACGTGCCGTCCTCCTTCGCAATGATGTCATGAGTTGATTAACAAATTGCCTCTTAAGCCTGGTTCAGACAGTGGCGTTTGACTGCGTTTGACTGCGTCGTGGCAGCGAGAAACCAAGACATCCATGTTGCTTATATTGCGTGCCAGGATGATTCCTTGAATTGGAGTCCAAGCTTCATACGAAGCTCAGATGTGCCGGTGACTCGCTTCCGGTTCTCGACGCAACGCTGTCAAACGCACTCAAACGCAAGTCCATTAGTATAAACCGGCCTTTAGTATAAACAGGAAGATTGTTTAGAGTATACCCCAGCCGGGCGCTAATGACCGACGGCAGGGTGAAGGATACAAACTCTCTGCTTTTGAGTCGCGCCCACGGTAAAAGAAATTCCAAGTAAAATTTAGGGATTTAACGCGCCAAACTAACTAAGGGAATCTGGCAGGCCCCAGTGGAAGACTGAGGATTCATTTCGACCCCCTGGGGATCTTTTGACGATCAAACGAAATCTTGGTTATACGACGCCTTCTCCGCAATAAGCCTCCGGCACATTGCGGGCCATAAGCCTCCGGGATTCGAACCCGCAACCTGAAGATTCGTAGGCCGGCGCTTTGCCTCGGCGCCACCGAAGCGGCGCAGTTGAAGAAAAGAGAGGTATCCGAACGAGGCCGGCCAAGGTGTAAAATGTATGTTCGGGCTTCGCGCATCTCCCGCCAGGAGCAAGTCGGTTTAGGGGCATTCGCACATCCATGGTCGCGCGCCTAGCGGCTTTTTAGACGTGTGCTCAAATAAGAACAACTCCTAGATTTGCTCTTATCGGCCTCTTAGACGCTGCACCATCTCCCGGCGTTTGTCAGAAATGCGAGTGAACCTTCGCCACACTTGCCCCATGGAGAAACGCGGGGTTGTTCAAACGCCTCCCTCGTCTTTCATTGGTGGTCACGCCCAGATGTGAGCGTATATCGGGAATGCAGTGTGCATACAGAACGCTTACTTGTTAAATCAAAGGAGCACCTTAATCTTTTCATTATATTTCTTTTTCGAAGCGCGCATGGTTTTGCTCTTTCAATCGCAGCGCACCACAACCAGCCCTGCTTCCTCCCCAAGAAGGTGGGCCCCTGCAAGGCTGGTATCCCCCGCTACTACTTCGACCCCAACACCGGCAAGTGCGAGCCCTTCCTTTACGGCGGCTGCCAGGGCAACGCCAACAACTTCAAGACCGTCAAGGAGTGCTTGCGTTCCTGCGTGGGTAGGTGTGCTCTCCCCTCTTCCACACGCAACATATAGATACACGCCCACGCCGACCTGCGCCTGCGTTAGCTCAAAGTCAACCGAGCAAACCTGGTGCAAATACTTTACTGCATCGACCAACTCATGTTTACAAGCAACCGGAGTACCCCTAGCGGACGCCACCAGCGCCGCGCATGCGCGATGGAGTGTGGGCAAGAAGTCAGCCGTCGCCCATAAACGAACCATTGGAACGCGATGTTGTCGTCGTCGGTGTGAGTCTCCGTGCTCTTTTTCGCGTTGTAATTGTCGGTTCTACGCCTTCCTGGCAATGTCTGACTACTTTATCGGCCTCGGCGAAATTAACGAGGCTCCTTACACCTCAAAACGTCGCGTGAGTAATGTAAAATGCCGTGATTCATTCCGCGTGGTGCCCAGCTCGATACGGACTCATTTCGGCCCGAGAACGGGGGAAATGATAACCACCCGATGGGCCCATATCGATAGCGAAGCCTTAATATTCGCGAGACATCAGCATTAAGGTTCGTACCTAATTATTTTCTAGCTTACTTTGCAAAAAGCACCAGCGTCACTCACTGCGTAAAAATAAATACAGTTGACGTGCGCCCGAACTTAAACTCGCCGCGGGGTAAGACGAACCCGCCTCGTCTGCTTTCTGCTTTTCTGTTCCCTCTGTTTCTAGTTCCTTCTCCATTTGTCGCGTTCTGACTTCCTCTTTACCGTCTAGAAGGCAAGGCTTGCTCATTACGGCTGTGTTCCAAATCTTACCCAAATGGATCCGAGTAACTCCGGCGGATCGTATCACGTGACAGCACAGATTGAAAAACGCTGGACGCGGGTAGGTTTTAAAACGCCAAGGGTACAAAACCCTTACCCTGGAGTAAGATCGAGTAACTTTTGAAACACGGCCTACATCATCCTTAGTAGAGCCCCAACCCGCACCAAGAGGCAAAGACGCTGAAGCTCACTGTATAGCACCAGGTGTCTTGACGTCGCCGCGTATACTTTACAACGTCACACTCGTTGTGAGACGCTGCATTACGCGTTGGCGGCGACGCTGACGCAAGACGGGCGGCGCTACGCGAACCCACTACTGATGACGTTTTTGTGGGAAAAGCGCGAGCCTTGTCTTCTTGCTTCTGTCGATTTTCTGGATATTGCTGAAGCGGAACCATGGTTCCACGTCATTTTTTAAACATAAAAAGCGCACCCACGAACGTGTCTGGTAAACAACGCAGAACGCGGCGTGGAGATCCAGAACCCGATCGAGGGCCGCACCTCCGACGACGATGTGTGCAAGCGGCCGGCCAAGACCGGAATGTGCGCCGGCTACTTCCCACGCTGGTTCTTCAACACGGAGACCGGCAAGTGCGAGGAGTTCGTCTACGGCGGCTGCCAGAGCAACGGCAACAACTTCGTCACCCGCGAGCAGTGCGAGTACACGTGCCCCAACACCACGTTGACGGGTGCGTATGACTGAACGGGACACCAGTTGTACAAACTAGGGTGCCTCAATGTCCTTCTGTTTAGGGTGATGCCACCCTTTGGGGTACCCGATGCCGACAGCAGGCGCGCACAGGGAAAATACAAAGAAATCGTCGGACACGCTCTTTCATGCGCTTCAGAACAAAGATAAATAAAATAAATGTTCGGAACGAGATGGCCAGATGTCATCACCCTAAGCATGGCGCACGTGAAGGCACCCTATAGTACAAACGTGAGCTAGCCCGCGCTCCTGACTTTGAGACGTGCAGTAGTGCACTCGCTCGTTCTGCCGAAGAACGTTTCGAAGCCGTGATCTTGTGCTCTCGTGCATGTAGCATTGGCTGAACGGAATATTGCCGCGCGCAGGGCTGAGAAAGCAACGCTCGATCACGAACCTCTAGAAAGTTCTCGTTTATTCTTGTTCCAGACGTAACTTCTATCGTTTATCCCTGCTTTTGTTGTTCCAGAAAGTGCGTGTTCATTCTCGTCCCGAGCGCGCTACGCTCGAACCTTCTCCGCCGAATCTTCGAGATAGTGACTCACCTTAGATAAGAGGCCGCCTGCGACCTTGTCGAGTCAGTCTCGCCCCTGCGCTCGATCCTGCGGTTTCGCCGACATCGACGCCCGCGACGCTCTGCTGTTTTCTTTTGTACACTTTTATTTTTGGCACAAGTTCGCCACATTAAACGTTTATTTCTTTCTGTTTATTTATTGTTTATTTGGTCACCATCCGTGACAATGTGTCCTCCGTTCAGCCTTGAAGGGATACTGAACCGGAACTTGGAGCTCACAAAAGGCTGGAGCCCTAGACGGGTCGCTGCGAAACCCCAAAACATCACTCATAAAGCGATATAAGTGACCATTTGCCCATATTTATGGTAGTCAACACAACACGTGAACCACGTAAGCAAGACACAACTACAATAACATTCCAAAACATTACACCACCTACACTAGGTACGTTTCGAAATAAGTTAATTAACACAAATTGGGAAGATGTATTCCATACTGGTGACGCAAATAGCGCCTATAACAAATCCATAGAAAAGTTTAAACATATATATATTGACTGTTTTCCAAATAAAACCGTAAAACTTGCTCGAAAGGGCAAGTTTTACGGTTTAATTTGAATACGTTAAAAAGAATACGTTGGAAATACAAACTTTATCATTTATTTCTTGCGACTCGAGATGAAATAGTGCTAGCCCAATTTAGAGACTACAGAAATAAATTAACGACGGAAATTAAAGGAACTAAAAAGAACTATTATTCTAGTCTTTTTGATGCCGACTGCCTAAAAAAGGCCGATATACTACGGAAACGCATAAAGAGTGTTTTTAATACCTCATGCAGATTAAATCCGATTGAAAATATAGAACATAATGGGTGAAGTTCTGAATGCATTGAATCTGGCAAATATATTCAACAATTGTTTTGTTAATATAGGTACCATTTACTATAACTAGGGTTCGGAGTTTTCGGTTTAAACCGATAAAAACCGATAAAACTACGCCGAATCCATTTTCGGAAATTCGGTTTTAACCGAAAAAGGTCAGTTTGTAGGTTCCGTGTTTTCGGTTTAAAACCGATAAAAACCGCTAAAATTACATCTTAGCCGTTTTCTAAAATTTGATTTTAACCGAAAAATGACAGTTTTTTAGGACCGCGTCGACGTGGGTGGGGGAGGGAGGGGAGAAAGAGAGGGCTTTGCAAGGTTCGACATTGTGTGACGTCTTCGGGATTGCCCTCTTCCAAGGTTCAAGGTCTTGTATTGGCTTTCGCGGGGTCCTAAAAAAAATTTCGGATGTGGGCTAGTATAAAATTTTTTTGTTTCATGCACCTCAGAGTACATCGAGGATAGCCGCTAATACCTTTCTTAACACCCTCCCTCAAACTTCCCTGTGGTTGAAATCATAAATACAATGTTTCCTTTTTCTTTTTTTTTTTTTTTTGTTATTCCTTTGGGGCTTGTACGGTCATCACCTCGGACGGTCTCGTCGTTAGAATGGGAAGGAAAAAGAAGCGCGCTGAAGATTATGCCCGCGAATTCCGCGATTTTGATTTGTGTCCTGACGAAAGTTGTAGCGAAGACCACGTATGGATATGTGCCGTTATTCTTTGAGTGATCACAAATATCACAGCTACAAGAATCATCTGATCCGGTGTCCGATGATGTTTCTTTCATATTCATCGAAAAAAAACGGTAAACTTTTTTGGGAATAAATATACACCGAAAAAAGCCGAAAATTGACTTTTAAAATAAACACCGAAAAAATTACGCCGATTTTTGAAAAAATAAAAACCGAAAACGCGGAACCCTAACTATAACCCAGAAGCGTCAAAAAATATATTATCAACTCCAGAATCATTCTTTATATTCCCAACGGATGAAAGTGAGATTCGTACCTTTATCATGTGTATAAATAATAGTCGGAGTCGTGATGCAGACGATCTACAAATTAGACCAGTAAAATACGTAATTAATATCATTGCCCCATGCCTAACATTTATATACAACCTCGCCCTATCATCTGGTACTTTTCCGCAAAACATGCAAGTTGCGAAAGTTATATAGCTTTGTTCAAAACTGGAAACAAATACGAATTAGGGAATTATCGTCCTATATCTATACTTCCAGTATTTTTGAAAGGTTTAGAAAAAATAATTCACTCGCGGATTGCAAATTTTTGTGACAAACATTTTCTTATAACTGACTATCAATTTGGCTTCAGGAGAAATCGGTCTACAGAAGCAGCGTTATTAGTCCAGAAAGAATGAATACTTAGAAACTTCGAAGAAAATAAATTGACGCTTGGAATATTTATAAATTTCAGCAAAGCTTTGGATTGCATTAATTACACTATTTTGCTAGAAAACTCTTTGCTTATGGTATCCGAGATATTCCGCTTGCACTTATAAAATTATATCTAAAATATCGCTCTCAGTTTATGGTAATTACTGACCGAAAATCGACCCTTTCACACATATCGTCACGAGTTCCACAAGGAAGTATCTTAGGGCCCCTTCTTTTTCTAGTATATATTAATGACTTAGTAAACAATATTGATTCAAGTTGCAAATATATCATCTATGCGGATGACACTAGCATATTGTTTTCAGACAGTTGTGAGCAGAGCTTAAGAAATAAATCCAATGCATTTCTTTTAAAGTTGAAAGCATGGTCAGAAATAAATTGCTTAAACATAAATGTATCAAAAACAAAAGCAGTCGTGTTCCGACCACCTGGTTCGGGTGAGAGACTTCCCACACCATTCAACTTTGGATCTTTTAAATATTGAGTTTGTACATAGTATTAAAACGCTTGGAATTATTTTTTTCTGAAACCTTGCTATGGAATGATCACATTAAATATCTTCGCGCTAAACTAGGAAAAGTAGTAGGAATTATGAATAAAAATAGACGTGTTGTTCCCACGAGTGTAAAATGGGTGCTATACATTTCGTTATTCTACTAAGGTTGAAGCCTGGGCGAGTTGTTGTGACATACTTAAAAGGTTAAACAGCGCAAAAGACAACGGACAGGGTAAAGAAGGACACAGACAGAGCGTTATTCTATTCCCATTTGTGATACTGTAACTTAGTCTGGGGCATTACATCCATGTGAAATATAAATGCAATACATTTGCTCCAAAAAAGGTCGTAAGAATAATGGCAAACGTTGCTTATTTACATCCAAGACAACCATTGTTCAAAATCTACAAAATTCTTAACATACATCAAATGCGTGATTATCGACTGACAGTTTCGTATAAGTATGCGGCATATGGACGTAACGATATAATCTTTGAACTCGCTGATTTAAAAGAAAAAAGTTACTATTACCCATCTAGACATCGCCAGCCTTGGCAGATTCCGAAATGCAGAACCAATTATGGTAAGCAGAAAATAAGCTACACGCCACCTATGTTATTAAATGATTATTTTATTCGGAATATAGATGATATCCTCGAATTGTTTTTTTTTTAAATCTTGATCATGCATATGTTATTTATGATCATATCTAAATGCACAAAAAATGAAATGTTCATTGTAAATACATTATGTGTCGTGTCGCAGCTGCTGAATGGGGGGTCCGGAGCTTCGTCAAGCTGCGTTCATGCAGCTTTCTCTATGGCCTCCCATGCACCACATGTATCTGTGGTGATGAATAAAGTTATTATTATTATATTATATATCCTTAACGGTAGGCCGTTGGTCGTAACTGAATACTTAACTCGTCATATAAGTGACATTGCTCTTCAATCGCTGCAAAAGAAAGTTTAGAACTGCTGTAAGTGCGACTAGAAGACTGACTGTGAAAATAGACCATCAAGTCTGTCGCGATGTAGTCAAAGAAATTAATCGAATATTTCGTAAATCAGCTAGTACATCTAAAAGGAATCATCGCTTCACTTTTTCGGTAATGAGCCCGAGACTGATTCCCCCGCACTGGTGTTTTCTCGAAGGGCGAATGACGGCACTGATAACGAAGCCTGTGTTCCGCGCAGTTCCTGGGGGACACGGCAACGCCACCTGCAGCCTGCCTAAGAAGGTGGGCCCCTGCAGGGCGGCTATGCCTCGTTACTACTTCGACGTCACCACCGGCAAGTGCGAGCGGTTCATTTACGGCGGATGCGAGGGCAATGCCAACAACTTCCACACCTTGAAGACCTGCGAGAAGACGTGCAAAGGTAGGCAAACAACCCCCCCCCCCCCCCACACACACACACAAACACAGAACCGTAAAGTCCCAGTCACAGTGCTGTGACTGGGACGCGGTTTTCCGCGCAAACATCATAACAGATTCTCCTGCGGACAAACCTCAAGGTTGTTCTAAGCGTGCCTACTTATCAACTGTTTCCACTCTAAAAAATGATCGTGCGTCTACTTTCCCGCACAACACTCGGAGAGCCAATCACCGCAACGTACGGAGGCAGCTCAGCGAATGACGATGCCGAAACACATATCTTCAGACAAAAAAACGCGGCCTAAGTTGTGACATTGAAGGGATGCTGAACCGAAATGTGGATTTCACAAAACACGGCGGCAGAACCGTGCAACGAAATGCTACGAACGAACACTAAAACATCACACGTACTGCGATATCTCGAACGGACGACCGCATATTCTAAAAAAAGAGGCGCATTTGACAGGTATGTTGCCGTCGTCTCTCCGAGGAGAGTCGAGAAGGAGAGGAAACGGCCTCGCGTTTTCTCTGCCTCGCCGCCTTGAGGTGGCGAAGCGAAGAGAGAAAACGAGATATGTTCACGTCATGCGCCCTCGTCGGCCTCCTTTAACTTGTTTCTGGGAACAAAGGCATGAGTGCACGCGAGCTGGTTTTATACCCCAGTTACAAGGCAAGGGTGAGTTAGTTAGGGGTGCACGTGTAAGTTATAAAATTAAACTAGCTCGCTAGCTAGCGACAGAAATAAGCAACGGACAAACACAGAACTCCAGAAATGTTGTTTTGTATTTGTCCGTTTTTTTTTTAATACACTCTAACGTGTACAATGTTTTCAGCCCTGCTTTTACAGTTCTGTGTTTTTTTACCTACTTTTACACAATTTTGCGTTTTTCGCAAATATAAAAATCTCGCATCCCGATGGAAATGTGCACTCCACGTTTCATGCAAGTGTCTTAAAGAGTACCGTATTTACTCGAGTAATAACCGCACTGTTTATGAAAAAATCCTGAGGGTTTGCTTTTCCGCGGAGCACACGGATTGCCAATCACCGCAATCGACAGCATGATTCCAGTGGTTTACAGGGCAGAGATGACGTCTTTGCGCGAAGATACCATCTGCGAAGATTGCATTTGTATGGAGAATCGTGTTCTCGATCTAGTTACGTGTAGTGTTATTTATGCGCAACGCGATGATTGGCTGTACATGTGCCCTGCGGGAAAGCAGACGTGTGGGCCGTGTTCATAAATAGTGCGGCTATTATTCGATTAAATACGGTATAAACTCGGTGCAGCGCACTTTTTTGAACTCTAAAAAGAGCATTGTGGAAGCAGCAGCTTTCAAGATTTTTAGGAGCCCCTAAGAGGCCAGGTATTACAGTGACATTTCGGGCTTTATCCCTAGGCAACAGGAAGTTTTCTTTTTGAGTTAGATTCCAACAAGCTCTAACCATACTCTCGAGATTTGTGTCTATTTTCGTCTCATTTACATGCAACTGCAACTCAGAAATAAATGAAAAGACAGGTAGTGTGCAGGCGAGCTGGTGATAACTAATCATGTCATATAACACCTGAGACTGAGTTTGAGACGTCCCGTTCTGTGTTTGTTCCTTATAAAACGTTTCCAATTTCTTCTACCACAGTCTCAAGTGTTATATGACATGATCAGGAATAAATTCGATTCTAAATGGCTACCTTTTTCCTTCCTAAAGTTAGACCCTACGCGTATCATAAAATAATATGCACTCTCAGAAATTCCTTGGTGCCCTGTGACGCATAAGAAAACACCAATCCATGTTCTTCGAATCAGTTAATTGAAACGGGAAGGGTGAGCTCCATGCACGGCCATCTCAGCCGCAGAAAAGCATCCATTCCCCTTGTCTCTGCCTATCTTCTGGAACATGATACCGATCGCCCTCCCGGCTGGCTGCTAGGCTAATTAAAAGAAGCCATCGGTACATACATTTTTAAAAAAAAAAAAAAGAAACTAAAATGACGGACGAGAAAGGGACAAACAGAAAGCTTTATTGACACAACCGTTTATGTACCACCTCCCACACCCACGCCTCCCTGAGCTTTTACACGTCTTTGTAACATCCCACCATGTGCTAAGTCACGAAGACCTGTAACGTCAACCAGGTCGCCTTTTTACTACTGGTGTTTGGAGTCCGTCGCGCTGAGAGTTTGAGGCACACGCTCGGCAATCCCTGGTAACCGAGCGCGTCCGTGTGCCACAGATCATGGTCACTCCCACCATGACTGCGAGTCTCCGAAGGACCCGGGACCCTGCTTCGGCTACTTCCCACGCTGGTTCTTCAACGTGGACACCAGCGAGTGCGAGCAGTTCATCTACGGAGGCTGCCAGGGCAACGACAACAACTACTGGACCCTCGAACAGTGCCAGAGTACCTGCGCCCGCGGTACGTCTCTGAGGGGCACGTGAACAAAGAAGACGCTGAGTGTCTGACGCTATAACCTGAAACAGCAAAACAAGTGAACGTGACTTGTTTTTTTTATGTCCAACTTTTTAATGTATCGTTTTTGAACGTTTACGAATGGCAACGTCAAGCTACTGTAAAGTCTGGTGGGTCTATACGGAGTTTTCACTGGACGCCATAGTTGCCCACTGCTTTTCCGTGTGCAGACACGGGAAAAAAAAAAGGGATAAATTGTAGAAGAATCTGGAGTGGGGCAAGTTGGTACATCTTAGATCCGAAAAGCGCCAGACAACAAGGGCAACAGAAGGAATAGACGAAACAAAAAAGCGCATCGTTCCGTCTATTCCTTCTGTTGTCCTTGTTTTCTGGCGCTTTTCGAATCTAAGAAAGGGATAAAGCGGAAGTCGTGACGCTAACATCTCAAGCCTCACTGTTCACGTCGGTGAGGTTGAAGCGGCACGCCCTGAGCCGCAGTAACACTGCTGATACATTATACAAAGGACAAAGGGTCACAAAAATGATGCATCGCTTTTGGAAAGGTGTACTTTTTTTTATATAAAAATACGTGAGCGACGTTAAGTGATCGAGCGAGTGTCTTAATTTGCCGCATAAAGGTGAAAACTATATTAAAATGCAACTTAAGGATGCTACAAATAAACGCTGCCACGTAACAACTAGAGCGCTCGATTACTGGGCAAGTTTAATTAACGGTGTGTTTTTTTTTTCTTTTTCTCCAGCGTGTATTATCTTTCTTCGTCCAGGATGACCTCCTTTAGTATGCTTCTATAGAGAGCAACCTTGCTTGGCAAATGGAAGTTGCGATTAATAGGCTTAAGGCCCGCTAATTAATGAGCTTGAAATTGACGTGAGACGTGCTCGTGTAACCAGAAAGATAACTTACAAGGGGAACTTGTAGTTGGGCTAGTTGGTGAACGTTAGAAATCATGGTGTAAGGCGCAATAAAGAACGGGCACAAGAGAGTTGGGCTAGTTGGTTATTCATTTCTGGCGAAACCAGCTGAACATGGGAAGGGAGGAGGTAAGGAGATAAGAATCTTTCTTGCTCCTGAGAACAGTGCACCCAACCCCAGAGACGTCGGCGCGACGTGCTCCACGGTAGCGGATTATTTGCGCATTGCACAGAAAAATACTTGCTGGCGATAATGATGGTGTGTAAGGTGCTTTTGGGACGAATGGTTTTTTTTTTTTTTTTTCTTCTCTTTCCAACTACAGTTTTTAGTGTGAGATGTAGTATAGATAGTGTAAAGGCCCGCTCCTCGTATTCCTCGCCCGCCGGAAAACAGCGGCGCGCTTTGCCCAACTGTCATACGAACGCGAGGTACCGAATAGGCACAAGCACTGCGTTGGCAGTACGTGGTACATTGGGGTACCCCACGTAGGGGATGCAATGAGTGCTAAAGGTCTTTCTCCCTCTTTGTCTCCTTTCAGGCTGAAGTCCCACCTTCTGAATCTTCCGATGGAAACAGCGTCCAAAAGACTGAAGGGTGAAATAAAGGCGTTTATGAAAAAAATGTCTGCATCTGCTTGATAAAAAACGGGAAAGAGAGAAGGAATTTCAGACCCCATTTTTTAGTAACACATTGTTTCACTCTGATGCTCAATATTGTTTCATCAACCTGGTGACGAGTAAGAGAGGTTGTTATTAGCGGCGAGATGTTTTAGTGGCGCCCTCCTACGGTTCCCCCTTGTGACGTCATTACCTTGCAAACAACAAGTTCGATGGTGTTTGTAAATAGCATGGGGGAAGCCTCAAATCATTGCGCTCTCAAAGAAACACTGCCAACACCGTCAAAATTAAAGTTCTTTCATTCCTCTTATTTCCGTCGATGGTATACTTTTTCCGACGTCATAGCCAGCTTTTGGGCCAATCGTGGAAGGCCGACCACAGCGACGCTTTTGGTCGCGCACAGCTTATGTTGTACCGCAGCGAAGGTTAGGAGCGCGAGCTCATAGCGTTGGCAGCTGCCCTTGGTGCCCGAGAGATTGTGCCGCCGCGAGATGTGCCCTAGAGCAAGGAGCTCGCGTTTGTAGCATTTCCTGCGGTACAACCAGGCACGTAGCCAGGGGGGGGGGGGGGGGGGGGGGGGGGGGGGGAGGGGGCCATGGGGCCCGGGCCCCCCTGAAATCTTCCATATTGCTGGGACCTCCTCTCCCCCTTCCCCTTCATACAAAATTTTGTCATCGGCGGGCCCCCCCCCCCCCCCGAAACAAAATCCTGGCTACGTGCCTGGGTACAACACAAGGTGAAACAGAGTATAGGGTGATTTCTTTAGCCCAATGACAGCCCTCCTCAGTCTGGATAGAAAAAAAAATCACTCTGTCTCGTTAAGAATCTTGTAAATAGTAGGGCACAGCGAGGACAAACGCAACGTTGACGTTTTTTTTTAGTGCTACACTCGTACAGTTTCGAATTTTAACAATTAAGACCTGTTCACACATACACCAGAGCGCTACCTCGGCGTTATTAGTCAGCTCTGGAAATAGCGCTCACCTTGTTAGTAGAGCGCAGATTTCGCTCTAAATTAGTCTTTATTAAAAAGTTCAAACACCGACCAAGCCCATCTATAGGGACCCTACATTTTGAAGCCAATTTGGCCGTTTCTTCAGGGGCGACTGGCCGTTGACGAGTAGTGTCATTTTCCTTTCCTCCAACGGTGGGTACCTGGTCTTGCTCTTCTTCTTCTACGGCTGTACCTTTTCCAAAAACATATACGTAAGGTAAAGCTCCGAGAGACCGATTGATGTTCTGTGGCCTTGTTTGAATATGCAAGGATTCAAGAAACAATCTCTTTCGGGGATTTGTCTCAATGTTAATGATGCATCTGTTGCCAAAGTCAATACGATGGTCCTTGATGTCACAGTGCTTAGCGACCACGCTACGCTCATGATCAAACTTGTGTAACAAACTTGATTCTCTGTGTAAAGTTTTTGTTTCGCCGATGTATCTGGCCGCGCAAAGCTCGCAAGGAATCTTATATATAACGCCCTGGGCCTTGTCCTTAACAGGGCAATATTTTGGGCGGGGCATGAGTCGTCCAATAGTAGACACAGGTTTGTGCGCTATTTGGATACCCTCTTTAGCCAAGACACGTGCCAGTGCCTCGCTTGTTTCGTTTATGTAGGGAACGGTTATGCGCGAGGTTGAGTGGAAACTTTACACAGAGAATCCGTTAGCACAAAAACGACGTTCGCAAGTTTGATCATGAGCATAGCGCGGTAGTTGAGCACTGCGACGTCAAGGACCATCATATTTACTTTGACAACACATGCATCATTGACGTTGAGACAAATACCCGAAAGAGACTGTTTCTCGAATCCGGGCATATTCAAACAACGACACAGAAATCAATCTGTCTCTCGGAGCTTTACCATCCGCATATGTGAACGGGCTTCATCACTTTGGTGAAAAGGTACTGCCGTAGAAGAAGAAGACCAGATTCCCACCGTAGAAGAAAAGACGCGCATGAAAACAATGTCGCAATTTTCACTCGACTTTCCAATTGCCTTTCATCTAAAAAGCAAATGCTTCCCGGCTCTCCAACTTGTTCCATCGACAAATTATAACTTTTAGGAGACGGGCATGTATGATGAAGAAAACTATGCCTGACGCTGAAGTCACACATTTGAAATGCACCGAAAACCACTCCTACTCCTTTCTAGGCAAATCAGGAGCAAGGGGGAAACCCCTCAACAGTGACACATAAGTTGTCTTTGTCAATAGCCCTCACGCAAGCCGATCCAACGCAGAGCCAACTTGAATTTACCACCATGGATATGGATCTCCAAATCACTGACGACCAAGCTGGATTCATATCGCGAACAAAAAGCGCCGCCACTCCAGAGACAGTGTCATCTCAAAATCCATCTCACTGTGATCTTCAATCAATGCTGAACAATTTTTGACGAAATTGAACATGAACAAAGTTTCCGACGCCTTCGAACTCCACTGCCCGGAGTGCATCCTAGTGGTACGTCCAAACAAAAGGCTTAATCTCATCGCAGTAGACACACGAAACTCGCTCGCTACCAAAGCACTGCTGCAACTCACTAAGCTTTGTGGAATGGACATTAGGGCGAACGAACCAGGACCTTGATCTGCTGCAGTAGGGGTAATACGGCAAGGTATATGTACATGGGTAGCGAAGCTTCCATAGAAGCCCACATGTCGAAAAAATGGCGGCCCATGGAGCTGCTTTAGCGCCATCTATGAGTCGTGGGGACACTTCCGGCGGAACAAAAAATCGACAGGAAATGACGACAGTTCCGGAAAAAAACGTGACGTCATGCGTGCGTGCGGTTTGGCGCGAAAATTAAACAAAATTCCAGAGATCACAGGTAAATGAACGACATATACACTAAAAAGTCTCAAACATAGCTCCGTGTTTGAGCTTTGTTTGATACTTTTTAGTGTATATGTCGTTATTTTTACCTGCGGTCTCGGGTTTTTCCTGGGGTGTTTACACCTTGTGTTTACTCTATACTGGAATACTGGATCGTTTACACCCTTATTTGCCCTTGCTCTTATATTTTGTTCGAAATGTTTTTTTTCTGCAGCCGACTTTGTTAGCCGATCTGCTATGAGAGTAGTTTCATTTCGTCACAACCATCGTGTCTTTGCACTGTGGTCAAACTCCAGCCGCAGTGTTTTGCTTTTTGTTCCTTCAGGATCCCTGGGAAATATGTGAGAAACCTGAAAGCAAATTATGTAATGTCACAAAAAAGAGTGAATCAAATTGCTGGAGTGTGTTGGGCGTATGAAATACACAACAGTAACTCTAATGCAAGTCCAACGTCGCTTTAACAGTCGCGTTTTATTTGTTTTATTCACTTACAATCATTCACTCAGATTACTCACTAGAATTATACAATCGGTATCAACTATTTTCAAAAGGTCATGGTCGAAGAAAATGAGTAGATCGATACATAAGGCACACTGTTATAACATAAGACATTGTACAATCGGCTGGACGTTGTGAGGACGTTGACAGTTGATAGGCAGCCACTAATAACTCGGAGGTTCCACAGTGTTCCGACGACAACTGAGGCCACTACTGTAATACACAGAAAAGCTACACTTTTCTACACATTCCTTGGGCAAGGTACCATAATGCTGAAAATATCTTAACTTGCATCTGCTGGTGCTGCTACACGGCAACGCAGCGATTGTTTGGTGGAGGTCAAGGAAGCCAAGTGGAGTAAACCCTCTTGGAGCCCTGTGGTATGCTGCACTTCATAAGCCAGTTTTGCTTCACAGCTTTAAACTCTGTATATGTGAATAAGTTAGAGGACCACATTACTCCTCAAGAAACCGAAGAAAATGAAAGGCTCGAATAGAACATGCCTGCACTGCTTTAAAAAGTACTCTGGGTGGTCTCACATACGCAGTCTGCGCACTTGCTGCCTAGCTTTACACTTTGCTACTGTATCAAATAGTCAGCATTTTTTTTCCGCGCGAACCAGTGCAGAATGGCTCTGGCAATCAGAGAAAACAAATTATCATAAACACTTTCGTCACATACAGTCAGAGACTTTCAAAGCTTCTGGTTAAAAAGGACACAAAGAGTCCGCCCTACGTTCTCCTTTGAAATTAGGTTGTTGATACATGTCTCGAAGACTTCCTCACAAGCTTCAACAAATAATATGAAAGAAGCAGAAGGAACTGAGAGGATTCCAAAGTGGGAGTCGGCAGTTCCTTTCACACTCAAATACAAGAGCACTTGATTTCCCTCAGAAAAACACGCATTTTCTGTCCTCAACTCATATTTCTGGGATGTTCCTACACAGGAATGAACCTTGAGGAATTTCGATGCCAGCCACCCAGCAAAATAAACCATGTTGTTCTCTCCTATTGCCAAAGGGTAGTTTGAAGGCGAATCGTCTGCCGTGGCAAGAAAAACTGTGCTTCCTAAGGCAAGACGAGGAGAAGGTGCCAAAAGGCCTGCTGGGAACGTAGCAAGGAGAGACATGTCATCAGCACAGTTTGATTTTTCCGACAGCTTGAATAGGTTGCTAATCAAAAGGTGCCTGAACGCAGCCTGAAATTGACGGAAAGTGGAGTTCGTGTTTGCATCTGATTTTGAATGTACAACAGCAAAAGTGTTTTCAAGGGTGTCCTGGTTCAGATAGCGGTTTAAAAGGTGGGAAAAACCGCAATTAACCGCGAGGTGATATCTGAGCAGCAGTAGAGACCTAACTGTTAAGCAGAAGCCACGAATCCAGTGTGGCTGCCTTCCACATCCGAGTACTTGCAGGCTCTTAGAAACCAGAATGCACTCTTTCAGAAACTCCTCATGGATAGAGCCGTTACAGATTGCAGAGGCATATGGCGTCTTTGCAGATTTCTGCGAGCTATTTACGCTGTCAAAGAGACGGTCGATTCTTTCAACGAATCTCGCTGTGTGAACAGCTCTGGCTGGCAATTGCTAAGAAGTAACAAGGGCGTACATTGCATCTGCGCAGTGATTGCTAAACACTTGAGCTGCTAGTTTCACCGACATCTT